ACCCACCCACGGATATTGAAATATGAGACTGAAGCTAAAGCTTCAGAATTTGACCCGATGACTACTCAATAATATCGAAGAACTTGAGCACCGTTTGTGAGCCCCTACACTAAAAACCTACGCAGCGGCCATTCGCAGCATATCCCTAGGAATTAAGAACCTCAGCCTCGTCCAAGAAAGAGGTTCTTGAGTGCGGGCGCCTACTGCTGTATGCGTCCCCGTGGCTTGTACGCGATACTTCATGTCGAAGTTTTGTGCGCCTCACTGATTTATGAATTTCACGCAACAGCAATGTGCAGATGGCGAGACAACGTGCATGCTGTGTCCGTGCTCCCAGATCCCAGTGAGGTAATGAGGTATGGGCGCAAGAATTGAATTCACCCAGGGGTACGCATGTATGGCATGCACCCATGCCTGGCCGTGACGCATACGCACGTGCTTTTTCTCGCGTGGCCACAAGCCAATGCCACTTGCAGTCAACAACAAAAAGCTCCGTACGTAGGTATGTGCGCCCTCAAGCCAACTATTATGGACAAACAATAATTTCTCTGGAAACCACCAAAATCAGAAGGAAATTCCCAGGCCGACAGAGAGCAGCAGCGATATTTTATATCAACTCTTATGGTCCGAAAAAGTATAAATGATGGCTTTGGCTCGACAGACCACCAACTGACGGTTGGTTCCTTTCCCACCACACACCACAGACAGCAACAGCGGCTACGCCGTAGGATCGGGAGGGGTACACCCACCTGCTCTGTGGTGAGTGGTACCACATCATCAGCGCACAACAAGCAAATTGGCCGATGTGTTTATAGAGAGAACATGAAGCGGCATCGATACCATGATCTCGGAAGGAGTGTCCTCCTTGCCTCTCTCCACCAAATGGCTCGTGGACATGTTGTCGATTGGTAGTGTTCTGAAGTTGCCCAGCATAGTCGACACAGACGCACGTCCACAATCTGATCTGTATTTTGACCATAAACGTATGGCGACACCAACAAGCTAGAAACACACGGGTGGGTGCGCTGCAACGTGCAACTCGTGCCGCGCGCGCGCAACAACCCCTCCACAACGACCTCAAATCCAAACCCCGGCCAAAAAATCTCGCTGGGATTTGGAGGGCCAAATCCCAGCGGGAAAGGCGATTTCGGGGTGATCGGGATTTGAATTCTCGGTTTTTCGGCAATAAACAGCACCAGAGTGGTATGGCCTGTCGGCCTCACTACAAGCCCAAATCTCAGCAACTGCAGGCCTTCCATGAGAGTTGGCCTCAGAAACGAACACCAGGGCTAACAACGACAACAAGCGACCGTAGCTAGTCATACACCACGCTTGAGTACGCCTCAGGTCGGTGTAGCTGCGAAACATACGTTTTTTGGGGTTGGTGGCCACTATTCCGGAATGACTCAGACACCAACGCTCCGAGTTTCGTCTTCCGACAGGGAGACTACCGATTTTACCATCGTCGTTGCCATGCCATCATTTTCTTTTTCCCGCAACTTGCGTCTCTCTTTGGACTCCCCACAGATCTCTTCTACAATGCCGCAGACGGACCGTGACGCACTGGTTGCCCTGTATGACGCGGCCGGTGGGTTTAACTGGAAGAACAATGGTAACTGGAACGCGGATGCAGACCTGTCGAAATGGCATGGAATCAACATCAACGACCAGGGCCGCGTTGTGGAGGTACATCTAGCCGCCAACAACCTCCAAGGTGCTGCTGCCTTACGATGTGCTTGACCTTTTGCAAGAACTTTATCGACAGAATGAGGCCGTTCGTAGGGTTGCAAATTTTACAACAAGCTACACCATGTTCATTTTCGCGCATGCTTGCATTCTACACGCGGTCCATGCCTGAATACCAGCACGCTATGCGTACGGCTAGTGTACTTGTCTATGCTCATCGACACCACGAACTCCCCCCTACAGGACTGCTTCTTGAACACGCTCCACCCGCAAAGTACGTCGACATTCTCGTTCTCTAAGTTCTTCTCGTGGGTGGACAATCGGTACAGCTTAGAAGCATATTGCAGGGCGCATGTACACCTTTGTCGCGCTATGGTACATGCACCACCACAGCGCCGTCTGGCAACGGCCTGGTAGGCCGGGAGGTCGAAGGCTAGGCTGAAATCCATCCGCTGTCGGTGATGGCAAGCATGACTGTGGAAAAGATACTTTGCTTGGATATTCGCTGTTGTGGAGTGAATGTTGGCCGTACAATCGTGGGCTGGATTACAGCTACACCCTGCGCAACAAGCAGTCTGCAGGTAAACACCCTGTTATTTCTTCCCGATTTCTAGAAACTACCAGGTCCTAGATGCTAACTCATTTGGTGACATTTGCTCGGCCAATATTTTGTTTTTCGCTGCAGGCTCCATTCCCGAGGCGCTGGGGGCTCTCAGCAAGCTGGAGAGGCTGTGGCTTAGCCACAACCAGCTAACCGGTGAGAGAGGCGTGCACGAGAAGAATAATGCATCCTCATGCATGTGTATGCTGCGTGGGAAAAATTCTATGCATTTTGGTTTTGCAATGATCCAACGATTCGTGCGGTTGGCGTATCACAGGGACGATACCGGAGACGCTGGGGGAGTTGAGTGCGTTAGTAGTGCTGCACCTCGGACGCAACCAGCTGACCGGTGAGGGAAATGTCAACATCAACCATCAACCATCAACCGCCATCGCGAAGGTGAGAAGGTGTTCTATAAATTTGCTATCGGTGACGCGGAGATGACATGTGTTCCTGGTGTGCTACTTGAGCAGGAAACATTCCCGAGGAGCTAGGAGCCCTGAGCAAGCTGCGGGTGCTTGCGCTGTACAACAACCAGCTCACCGGTAAGATACTCCCAAAGTGTAGCTGTTGTTCTAGAACACCTCGTGGGTGACAAGGATCTCTAGAAGGTTGATGGTGGCGTGAAGTTCCTAGAAGACAATTTTTATCAGTTCTATCCCCTCTCACCGAGGACCTTGTTGTGGTGCAGTCCAAGCTCCTCCAGCTCGCTGACAGCTCCCAATACCTCGAATGTAGGGCCTGCACAGCAAAATATGAAGTTTGTCGAACAATCACAACTTGTTTAATCTCACACCCCGCGTAGGTGAGAGGCCATCACATATTCGAAACTACATATGGCCACATGTTCGAGAAAAGTGTCGCAAGCGGTAAATAACTTTGTTTCTGCGTCACGATGGATGCAGGCGAAATTCCGGCGCGGCTAGGACAGCTCTGCAACCTGCAGGATATCTCCCTAGCCCACAACAAGCTTCGTGGTATGTATCTCTGACAACATTGGGTTGCACGTCGTCTAAGGAACAATCGAAAGACCAATACGTTGGTGAGTAGGTATTGTAGAGGGAAAATGTTATATTTTCCTTGAACTTTTGGCACGTTTGGCACACTCCTCGCCAAGTAAGCTGGTTGTCGTAGGGTCGAGGCTACGCCAGGCTCCACGCCGTCCCCTGTGTCGAGGAGCTCCGTGATGATGTTTGTTTTCTGCTGCAACGATATCTTTTTTCTCACAGATCAAATTGCTAGATGAAAACACCGCGGCGGTGCCGCCGCCGACTGCCGCGCACCACGTTTTCTCCACTCTCCCGCTACGCCCTAGGAGACACAACCCCCTATTTACCTATTTTTGGAGAAATAAAGGAGCTCGAGCAACCCCATCGATTATCATTTTAAGCCTCATAGCGTGAGATCGATGTCCCTCATTTCGCGATTTGAGTACAATCTCCCAGAAGCAAGACTTGGTGAACTTGCGCAGAAACGTGCGCTTCAGTTGCCCACAGCTACAGCACGCCACAAGCACCACAGGGCTCCAAAGTGTCAAAACAATGTCAAAGAAGCAAAGAGCTGCCACGCCGCTCACAGTGGTAGCTGAGTACAGTTTGTGCGTAGCCTGGTTCCTCGGGTCTAGGTATACTCTACTCTATCACCGCGGAATGTAGATGCCTTCATCTGCTCCTCGTCCATGATGCTGTCCTTTCTTTTGTCCGGGAATTGACAGTAATACTGTATTTTGACAACTTGCTGGGGACTGGGGAACCACAGGTTGACATGCGGTAAATGGTCAAATCTTCTCTTCCAGACAAGCGATTGACACGCTAACAGCGTCAAACGGTTCCCACAAAATAGTCGCAGGAGAGGTATGCGATACTGTAAACAGGGTAACGAGTGATAACAGTCACGTTTTCGGGCTACAGCATATTTTTCTTGCTTCATATTGGGGGAGTTGAATTGACAACTCCGGGTTTTGACATCTGGGGAAAGCACGTCGTGCAATCTAGCAGCAGTCTCTTCGGCGTGGATGCGGCATACCCGCCGCCTCTTCGACACATCTATATGGCAAACAGGAAAGCATCCGATCGCTTCGATTCCTATTTATGGCTCATGCACCCCTAGCGCCGCGCTCAGTTTGTACCCGGACACCCACGGCCCATCACAGTATTTTTGCAGATTCTGTCCGAAGCCGCCATAAAACGCAAGTGCCAGACCCTCACAATGTGGTGTGTGAGTGGCGTCGCATGCCTTGAGAGCAGCAGAAGGCAACCAGAAACGATTCTACAGATTTTCTTGTGAACCGTATGCAGATGCATGCAGCATACCGAAAATTTGACCGAGTGCCGGATCTTCTTGGTACTTCGACGCGTCGCCGCCGTTCTTCGCATCTTTACCCTCAATCAACAAACAGATTGAACGCGAATCAAGGCATTCTCCGACGCAAAAAATATGTAGAGGTGTTATTTTGGCACAGTTTGTTTTTTTTTGTCTATGGCTCAATACGATATTTATACGAACGCTTTTTCTGTGGAGTTTTACGCCCCCCCCCAGAAAGTTGCTTTGTTCAAACCCCTTACTCTACGTGTGAGTTGTTTCATTTTGTTTGCGATACATGCCATTCCTTTTTACAACGCCTATTTTTGTGCGGAACCTGGCGTAGCCTTAGAGACTCTGCAGTTGGTTAAAACAGCTTCCAGCTCCTTGGGACTGTGTCTGGCCCAAACAGGATGGAGATTGCAGCTTCTACCTATCTACCCACACGCGGGTTAGCGCGACACATGCTTCTAGGACATATGTTTCGACCACTCGTTCATAACTTTACGTGGTCGAGGTGGCTCCCTCCTGCCAACAAACAACAGTCGAGTAGAGTGATTACAGTCCCGCCCATATAGAGTACGGAATGGAATGGCCTACTCGCCAACACGTGCGCGGTGCAAGCGTTCTAGAGATATCCAGTTTACGTTTTCTTCCTGCTGTACTCCCTCTTTCTGAATGCCGTGTGCAGGCTCCATACCCGAGGTGCTGGGGACTCTCAGCAACCTGCGGGAACTGCGACTCAGCGACAATCAACTTACAGGTATCTTTGGACCGCTATTCTCGCCGGATCTAGAATACCGTGGCATGAGCTACGGCGGAGACAGATGGGCTCTAATATCAGCTCTTCAGCTCGCTTACAGCTCCCAGCACCGCAGGGTTTACCGCAGTTCTCCAACAACAGCATCACAGCGGCAATATTTATTGGCCAATGACCTTTCCTTGCTTTGGCGATTCGTCCCAAAATCCGTCCGTTGGGTACTACCATGTTCAATACTCACATGTTTTCGTCGTGACCCACCGCTCAGCGAATAGTATTTTCCAAGACTGGATATTGGTTCTGCAAAGATTGCTATACGTAGCTCCGGCGTGATAGAACCTGCAGAAAAACAATAAAATCCAATCTAAAAGGCTCGCGGCTTCTAAAACATCTATCTCACCCAAGCGTAAGGCGAGTAGGGTATTGCATGTTTTACAACCTTGTTCAGTATTTTGAACTACTCTGTGCAGGATGCATCCCGAAGGAGCTAGGAGCTCTGACTAAGCTGGAGTTGCTTACACTCTACGTCAACGTTCTTACCGGTGAGGGGGGTTCTATGAAGTTGTGGATTCTACGATCCTAGAAATTGATTCTGCCAAAACGCGTTGGGAGAATTAGTCACGAATCGATACTTGAGCGGAGCTTACAACCTGATTTTTTGCTCGGATGCAGGCATTATCCCCCCGGAGCTAGGAAACCTTGGCGTCCTCCGAGATCTCAGGCTTTTCAAAAACATGCTGACAGGTGAGGTCATATCGAGAAAAGTTTACATCCGGCTAACCATTCTTTCAACGTGAAATGGCTTTCTGATCGACGTGTTGCCGGGATTCGTCCGCCATTTTGTCTCCACCGAAATCTTGAAGACAATAGTCAACCTCCGCCCGATCTCATCGTTTCACGTTGCTGTAAATACCTGCAGGCTCCATCCCCGCATCACTAGGACAGCTCCGCAACCTCGAGAAACTCGACCTCAGTGACAACCGGCTCGACGGTAGGTCATGACGTTTGAGATGTCCGTAGAACAGAACGACAACCACAATGAAAGTCACCCCACACGTTGGCGAGACAGACATGCGGAAAACTGTGCCCTTTGCATTCATCTACTTGTATACCATGCAGGCGGGATCCCGATGTCGCTAGGACAGCTCGACAAGCTGCAAAGGCTGTACCTCAACCAGAACATGCTGAGCGGTAAGTGTATGTGTCACGCGAGAGCGACTTGAATCCCACGAACGCCTTGGGTGGGATCCGACTTCCGTTGCTAGTGTAGGAAAGACCGTCAAGTTGCCGCTCAGTTCTCTTGCTGGTACAGCAAATAATTTTCGTAGATCGCTAAGGTTGGGCAGCTGCTGGGGATTGGCCACCAAAAGTAGATCTGAAACATCTCGAGGACGCAGTCAATCTTTGGTGGAGTCTAGGTAAGACGCGAGCTCTCCTGTAGATGAATGGGCCAACCTGAACGTCGGGGGAGTACCGTCAAGGCAAGGGTCACTACATAACTCGTTTGGGAGTCCCAGTGGATTGGGTCGTTTCGAGCACAAAGTGCGAAAGGTGTAGGTATTGAGTGGCGTTAGAACGGTCTGCCAAACACCCGTCACATCACAACTGATAGTTCCCTTGCGATAGTCTCGAAGGGCTCCCATCTTGCCTAGCCCAGCGCGAAAGACCTGCAGCAAACGAAGCAGAGCGCAGCGGTCTGTGCCGAAACAGTCCATCCACGTTATTGAATATTGCTTCTTTTTGAAGATCGTCCCCTTCCACAACGACAATGCTTGTTTCGGTTCGCATTGCACACAGGCCCAATCCTGAAGGAGCTCGGCGACCTTAGGGCCCTCACGCACCTCGGCCTGTACGAAAACGACCTCATCGGTTAGTGCTCCTACAGTAACTAACAAATGGGGCAGTTTCCATCAAAATTATGTACGTGGGTCCTCACCAAAATGTTGTAATTCAAAGCAACCCAGGGTCGTTCTGCTCACGCGATGAACATGGAGCATCTGCCCAGCGAAGAGGTGCCCCGGAGCCTGCTGGATGTAGGACGTGTGGCGACGATCACGAAGTTTCTGCCTTTCTCAGAATTCAACCATTCATGCATGTCGCCCACACTACACCCGACAGCTTGCTTTCAGTGTTCGGGTTGAATGTTCTGGTGACGTGGCCATCCTCTGGAGACCCTCGATTGCTTTGTGGTGCGTGTTGAACGAACAGATACTCCCAAGAAACTGTTGGCTGGAGGAAGTCTCAAGCAGTGGCAGGAAAAACTCAGAGGTATGAGACCATGTAAAAGCGTTTGTTGTTTTTGTTTTTTTTGTTGTCTTCACGTTTAAAACCGTTCCGATCTCTCTTTCCAGCACCTTCATTCGTTCGTAATAATGTAAAGCTTGCCGCGGTCGATTCCCGCTGTCACGAGCTAAGTTGTGCATGCATGGTTCAGTATACCGCAGCTTGCAGTAATGACAATTGCATGCAGACAGATGAAAAGTTCACCAAGTGACTGGAAAATGCGCGGCTTTTTGTTTGCAGGTGCGGGACGAGGAGAACCGTGGGTAATCTCTCTGGCGGATTTCTTGATCGCTGTCTGGCATTTCCTTCTACCGATTTTCGACGATGTCACCGATGTGATGCTGCTTTTGGCGACATTCGAGGGTCGTGGGCGGTTATGGTGGGCGTGCTGTGGTGTGTTTGTGCTAGCAGATGCCGAGCGCGTGCTCCTGTTGCTTGTCGCGTTCTCGCTCATTTTGTGTTGGGTTCCCTTTGCTCTGCTCGGCACCGATGAAACTAGAGGCCAGCGCTTCGAGGCAGTATTCAGATTTTTGAACGGCGGGCACGACTTGATCCTGGAACCTGTCGTGGTGAGAAGTTACCCTGCTCGTGGTGTTGTGTGGGGAATCCGGCCGTCCGCCCTGCGATGGCCAATCTTGGATGGCATCATGTGGGCCACGGTAGGTTCACGCTCAAAATCGAGTTCGTTGATGAGATTGTGTGGGATGGCGGGGAATACGCCGGTGGAACAACTGGAACAGTCTGGATTTGGACTATCGTTGATCGATAGAATTGTGTTCCACCACCCCTATAGTGCTCTCGGCCGCATTCTGTTTTACTGCCCTCATAGGCACCACCTCCCTGGCTCTGACACTTCAACCCGTAGATCGGGGGTAATGCTGCGGGCGGTTGGCGAGACATTGGTGGTTGACTCGCTGTTTCTTGCTCTTTCCCTCTCCACCGAGACTTGGGAGGATGGTGTATCGATTGGGATAGTTTCGCTGATATTCTCGGTGTTGGAATTGCTCACGGAACTCCAGTACTATTTGGCAGAGGCCAGAGCAGCCATGGTAGCTGACAGGAAGGAAATGACGGGGTCGGCGAATGTTCCACCATGTATTGTTTGCGAAGGCTTGGGCGTTCAAGCACGACGGTAGGCTAAGGCTTTGTGCTGTTTTTATGTTGCAGTCTGGTTCTCAACAATAATCATGCGCATCTTTTTGCTCCTGTTCCCGCAGCGGGCTCTATCGTGGCGCTGGTCACGATTACCAAATACCAAAAGTACTTATTAGGAAAATGTTGACGTCTGTGTGTGGTAGAAATGCGACGAGGATATAATGTTGGCTAAGAACACGCTTGAACAAGTCGATCGGCGTAACGCGCGTTGTTTCCGGGGTCGGAATTGACTGAAATTTGGAGGAATATTCCAAGGGTGTGTTCGGTAAGGTACGGGTAGGCTCGGTAACGTATTGAAAAGGTACTGAAGCGTACCGAGATTTTCGGTAAGGCATTGAAAAAGTACCGAAGCATACCGAGAATTTCGGTAAGGTATTGAAAAAGTACCGAAGTATACCGAGAATTTTGGTAAGGTATTGAGATATGACCGAAGCATGTACCGGTACCCTCGGTATTTGTAGAGGGTATACCAAGATTTTCGGTAAGGTATTGAGATATTACCAAAGCATACCGGTATTGAGATACTACCGAAGTATACCGAGAATGTCGGCGAGGTATTGAAAAATTACCGAAGTACACCGAGATTTTCGTCAAGGTATTGAAAAATTACCGCAGTATACCGAGATTTTCGGTAAGGTATTGAAAAATTACCGAAGTATACCGAGAGTTTCGGTAAGGTATTGAGATATTACCAAAGCATACCGAGACGCTCGGTATGGTAAATACCGGCGGTATTTACCGTCGGTACGCTTCGGTAATACCTTACCGAACACACCCTTGGAATATTCCCCTGGTAACGCTAGATACCTTGGCACATCCTGTTGATGTAAACGGAGCTATCGACAGCGAGATTTGGCGCCACTTCAAACACTTCCTCCGAATTCTCTCAAGAGGTATCTTACACATTTGTCTCTGTTCATGTCGCGGAGGAATCTCATGTATTTATCTATTCTAAGCATTTGGCCTCGACCACAAAGGTTTTCCTTTTTCTCCAGGACCGCTCCGAATGTCGGCAGCCACCCCACTGCCAATATTTACACTACATTCCACATCCGCTCCAGTTTGATGCCTCCTGGGTTGTGAAAACCGTAGGTGACACAAGATACCAAACCCCCTGGACCTAATTTCAAAGCTCGATTACTCCACGACGAAGACGATACAGTGATGAAACTTCACGATTTCGGAAAGCCGCCGTTTTAGGCGCTGCCGCTCATTCTGTTGTGGGGAAATCGAGCTTCTATATCGGTGGTATCTTGTGTCACGTACGGTAGTGATTGGGGGTCGTTACACACACAAGACAAACACTTCATTTGACAATGCCAACGGCTCTGGTTCGCATTGATTGACAGATTGACAGAACGAAGCGTAAACGGAAGACAAACAGTTTCGAACGGCATACAGCCTGGCAATACAGTTGTGTTCGTTTTCGAGCCCCACACATACTCTGTTAGCGGTGCTCTTCAAAGTCAAGCCTCCTGATTGTCGGTGGAGCTGTCACCCTTCCAACGGGCGTCAACCAATAACGGCGACGGATTGCTGGCTGCATCAGGTGCAAGCTAGTATCTCACCCCGACCATTTCGGTTTTCGCTCAGTTCTGTAGCCCAGCCACAGGATACCAAAATTTATGTCATACGCACACATACACATCGCATGTAGCTGTAGCTGACCTGCGTCCTCGCCAACCGCAATTGAAGCTACACGCTGGTTCACGCTTGACTTTTTCGGAATCAACGCTCGTTTCAAAATTCGGATGTGCATGGTTCGGAAACGTGGGGGGCTGTGAACCCACACCCCTAGGGGCCCAGGACAGCCTGGTCTCAAGTGTTTTGCACGCAAGCAACTCCAAATATGTAGGGCCTCATGATATGTATAAAACGTGCAACAGGAAAACCAACCACAACCGCAACCCACCCAGACTCATCTGTCGCCAAGGTTGCAAACTACCGGGAGCATAGTCCCAGAACCGCCCCCATCTACCTCGACACGCAACACCGCGCAAGCAGCCGGTCGATGCGTGTCACTTTCGCTATCGTTGTTCGACTCCTTTCTAGCAGCGGCCTCCGCTCCAGCCGCATCGATAACAATGGCGATCTCCACCTTCTCTCCCGGTTCAAGTTCTCCGCGCTCACTTCCATCGAGGCTTATCCAGCCCGGGAGACTATCCTTACAAACGTGGAATGTCCCCTTGATGCCACCGGTGTTGCTTATCTCCGTCACGGCCGACAAGGACGGCGTCTGGTCAAGAACCAAGACGAGGGTCGGAGGCTCCAGCACGACGCGGGCAAAGGGAGACAGCTCAGACGCAGCCTTAGCAGCTGATCTGCGCGGACTAAGGGGCTCCACGTCCACGTCCGGCTCGGCCACGGTCTTCTGGGGGGCGCATGCCAGCGATGTGCGGAAGAGCGCGCTCACTGTCCGTGCATGTGTCGCACATCAACCACGGCAGCCATGCATATCAGCGGCAACAGAACAAGCGGCGTAGGTGGCGAAGTGAGTCAAACGTGCTACTGGTGCATCCCGAACGACGGACATGACAGGTGGTGCAGAACGGACGACAAGGGTCGAACGGGGAACGGTTGACCGCGTTCGGCCGGCCATCAATGCATGCGGCATTTCGGGGGGCTTCACGGCCGGCAACGACTGGCACCTGTTCGTGGACCATCGAGCGATAAGACCACCCACAAGAGAACAACTCGAGAACCATGCTAGTGTACATGCCAGGAACCTCTTCGTTGAGGTTGGGGGTGGAGGGAGGGAAACGTGCTGGCCAGGCCCAGTTCGGCTACACAAGAGGGCAATCGGAACGCTTCCTCTCCGCGATTGAACGAAAAACAACATGAATATAGACTATGTAGACTTGTTCACCAAACCCTTTCAGCGGATCGCGGTCACCAGAAGTTCAACCAGAAGGCTGCAAAATATATATGTACACGTCGCACCCTCAGCAGGCACGCGTATGGCCTAGGTACAGGTGGCAAAGACGGCTTCCGCCTCCGAATTCGAGTTTCGCATCGTAGCGACGAAAATGACGCCTTGCGTTCCTCTACGCCAAACCTACGTGAGTGCCCGACAGTAGCCCCGCCTGACACGTACATCGAGATAGGTGTCCCTTCGTAGCTACTTCCGCACGGCCGGGCACGCCGTGAAAAGACGACTGCGCTACTTCCTCACCAGGCATGTGGTCGGACACGAGCGGGCCGGAGCTCCAGTACCTCTCGAGGCCGAGTCGTCGAACAGAGTCGCCGCCCTGCATCCCCATCGCGTAGAGAACACGGTCGCACCACGATGGGCATCGGACCTTTTTCTCCGGCCTGTATCCCACCGCATACCGACCACAGACGACGTACAAGGCAGCACCAATCATCTCGAGAGCATCAGCGAAAAATGGCCGAACACGGCAAGGAAGGACCACGTGCCGCACGGGAGGTGTCAAGGAAAACTACACAAGGGACGACCACGAACGGACTGGGGCCGCTACATCCAACAGCATCCTTGCCGGGGCAGGGACCTGGAAGGTCATGCGCACACTATTCAGGCAGATCCGGCTGTCTGCAGCACCTTCCACCGCCGTCAGGAGTGAGAAGTGAATTGCCTTCAACGCTGACTTTGAGGAAACCGATGAGCAAACGAAATAACTCGCCTTTGATCGTATTCCTTGGTGCCGGGGATGTACTTGTAAGATGGCGGGAAGCAGAGAGGGCCCTCCTGGAACTCTTGGAACGCCGTCCCCGATGCACGCGCGATGGTCAGCTGATCCAAACCACTGTACAACCGTGGTACGGCACGGCACGGTAACCATGTGTGAGTGAATCGAGGAGACCACAAACATGAGAATTTGGTCATGGTGAGATTTGGTAAACAACCACAAACATGAGAATTTGGTCATGGTGAGATTTAGTAAACAACCACAAACATGAGAATTTGGTCATGGTGAGATTCGGTGAGCGTTCAGCACAACGCCAACGACCCGTACCTCAACATGGAACTTGTGGCCTGACGAACCAACGGCGAAAAGGTAGGGGAATCGGCTGCGCCCCTCGCTACGGGGGAAAGCCTGGACAAGGAATCTACGTTTGGGTCAAGAGCCCTTGTCTCAACCACGCTTCTTCGTCAGCTTGACCGTCAGCTTGAGTCAACTCACTCCAGAGGCCTGCGGAGCGTCTCTACAGGCTTACATGATCGCCAGCCCCTTTGAAAAGGGTGGCAACACATCCTACGCTGGCAAATCTTCGCAAAGCGTAGTGGTTCTAGTCGCAACGCACTCACGGTGGTGCACGGCCCATGATGCCCGATACACCTGCACAACGCGTGATTGCAGAGTGAACATGTTTAGGAACACAACGATAAAACGACTCACCTCAGAGTCTCGAGATCGTCGTTCTGAAGCATCTCGAACACTTCCTGGTCCGGGGTCTCCTCTGTGATGCGGTAGTTGAGGTCGCCAATCCAGAACACGACGTCCGCCTGCCAAGATTACAGCACGTGAGATTGCTTGCGGAATCAATCCATCGAATACTCCTACGGCAAGATTTGGAAGAGTAACTCTGTCAACATGCCGTACGCAATCGTTTGGCCGAGAAATCCGTACGAGAAATCCGTACCCACAACCTCGTTGGTCATGGCGTCCCCGTCCAAATAGTGTCAAGAAACGTGAGGTACGTCTGCGGCTGTCAAGGATGGAAAGAAGACATGTTCACGGCTGAGTACGTTACTGCAGCAAGCCGAAAAGGATGTCACCAGCACCCTGTGGCTGTTAATGCTAACGCTGTACTGGGAAGGGTGATACTATGGAGCTAGTCCAAGGCAGAACGGAAAGGAAAAAACGAGACTAGCTGCAGGTTGTTGCCCAGCGCCATTTCGACAGCACACTACAAAAATCGGGTGGTGAGGTGAGGGGGGGGGCGGAGCAAGGGTTGGCAACGCTTGGAGAGGCTAGTACCGCACACCCGTCGTTTCCGACCTCCTCCTGACGAAGGCGCAAATTTTTCATAGTGACAGTGTATGGCGGTTTCTTTCAGTCTGCGGCGCACGCGTTGCTCTTCGGAACTCGTTAGAATGGTGGTTCAAGGCCGCGCAGTCTGCAGTGCTTCAGCAAAAGACTCAGCCAAGTCTCGTGCTGGACAACACCGCAACGCAGATCGACGTGCCCCATTTAGTGTCAATCGGCTGCCAGCTACCGACACGAACCATTGGGCCACCACCTTCCACATCGTTGACGCAACGCGAGTATCGAATGCACGCCACAAGTTCAAAACGGGCGGACACACTTCAACACTAGTTATTTGGGACGCACCGGTATGTCGACGGCCACCCCAAAACCCTTGTAGGAAGCATCTACCAATGTCGACACATGCTTAACCGAAGATGTACGAATCAATGCTCAAAGCCCGGTTCACAATCACAGCGAAACCCTGTTTACATCCATCGAAGGTGCAGAGAAAATGCAACAAGGTGCAAGAAAAGAAACCTCACAACAATTGAGGGAGCGAGGCAAGAGCTGCGCTGTAGATCACGTGCTGCCCACCTGCAGCACCGTTTTGGTCTTCGGTAGACCAGCGCTCATCCCTTCATCGCTCGGCATCCAAGCGAAGTCATCGACCTCAACATCCTCAGCGGGCCTCGCACCTGCACACGACGCCGTGCCGTTCGACCGTGCAACCGTTGAATCGTTCAGGTTGAAAGCGCAACAACCAGCGGAGGGTTAACACCGGGGGAAAGAAGTGGTGTATCCGTGGTCAACACGCAGCTAGTCGTGAGACCGCTACGGAAACCTCTGCCATCATCGTGTACCAAAGGACGCTTCTCGTGAGACGAACGTGTGAAAGTGCCGCCGCTGCTGCTGCTGCCGCCGCTGCTGCTGCCGTCGAGATCAAAGGATAGCATTCGACTACTTTCCCTGGTGCGCAATGATTTCGAGCATGCTGATTGTACTACCGACTCCTTTCACTGAGTTAAACGCAGTCCCTGGCGAGATCCAGCGGGCCAAACAGCAGTCACACACTCACCAGTCGTCAACATCCAAGCCCTTGGCTTCGCTAACCCTGTACCTTATCGGGCACCGACACGTATCAACGCTACAAGTCTAAACAAAGCACTTGACCCCTTCATTTCCGCGTACCATGAGCATTACCTTTTTCAGCCTCACTTCCGCTGCCGTCGATATCGCCCTTTCCAGAAGACGCCCTTCCTTCCCCGCCTCCTCCCCGCTTTGGCAAACCGAAGGCCATGGCGGCTCTGATGGCTTTCTTCACCTCCGAGTTGCGCGTTGGTGACATACCGCCTGATCGCCCACCCTGACCGGCAGCCCCGAACAAGCTGCCCCATGTGCTACCCTGCCATCTGTCTTGGGCCTTGTCCTTTTCTTGATCCTTTCCTGCGGGGTCCTCAGCCTCGTCCACGGGCAGCCTGCCATGTCGAACAACACACAAACAATAGAGTACAGCAACATCACGAACAGTGGTTAGAGATCATTGACATGAAGGGCTTCTCGAGACAAGCCGAATTGTCCTTAGCGGTGTACATTATTCGGGGGCATGAGAGGCAGGGGCGGAGGCAGGCACTACGCCTATTCAATTGCGGGAAAATCTTGCCGCTGTATGTTCTTCCTGCTCCCTCCTACCCCTGCCTGTCGACGTCATCCAGAGGATACCAGTACAACTGCTTTGTCTCTGACCATCGTATCTCAACACTTGACCCATGTCAACGTAGTCCAGAACAGCATGAAGCACGCCGACTACTCTGACTAGGGCCCTCAAACAACAATGACGATGATGCTTGCTTACCCAGGACTCCCGAGTACAAAGACTCAGAGTCCCTGCCACCCACTTTCAGACTGGCCATTACCCTTCGAGACGAACAATAGAGAGATCGGTTCCCTCACCTGCCGTCGGTATCGGCGAAGACGGGTTTCGACGAGATAAGCTTATACTCGGCGTTCCTCGCCAGCACGTGTTCACGATGCGCCGCCATGTGCACGCACACGAAGCAGAGGGAAGAGCGCCCCCCAACCTCCAGTCGCACGGCCACGGCACCTTTGTTCCCGAGGTAGCCCTAGTCATAAGGGTACACGTTCACGAGGAACACGAGCGTGAGCGGAAAAAGAAAAAAAAAACATCGACTAGACACGCAAACCTCAGGGACCTTGGCAGCTAACGCAGATTTGTACAGCATACAGCAGTGCATCCCAGCACTGCGGTGTGATTGCGGCCGACCTGTCATGAGCAAGCAAGCGCTCCAAGTCACCGGACAAGCTTGAGAGCGCAGGGAGAGACTGGGTGGGGAAAAGGGACCACGACATTTGCGTGAAACAACGCGCTTATATTTCACCGCCTTGACAGGGACTTTCAACTAAGATGCCGCACCCAACAGCAGATTCCGTGACGAGCAGAGAACACACGCAACAACAGACAACCACGACTGTGTTAACTCTACAATACAGTGTGTCGTCGGTGAGCTCGATATGCCAACCAAGAACCGTTCAGGACGCATTTGCAAATTCCATGAATCATCACAACCAACTCTTGCTCACCCCGAGTCCTGTCGGCACAACTGCGGTCTGAACATGCGCGATCTTTGGGCAAAGATCCTCCTTGGCCATTATCAGCATATATGTCCCCAGTAACCGCTGCTCCGTTACCATGGCGTACCTCACTCCGTACTGAAACAGTATGATGACCATCAGCAGCAGCCACAGCATCGACAAACGCACGACAAACGCAGCGCAGCTCCGTCACCGGGAGTTGTCGGATCTCAATATCGTTGGTGGACGAGACCTGAATGTGAATACTTGCTTCCGTGGTACGATCTGTTGGTTCATTCTACGTTTTCAACAGATTCCGTACCATGACAGGATAGCATTTCAAGCCTCCTTGAGTGCGCCGTCAAAGTAATTGATGCCCGTAGGCTGTGTAGCTGAACGAATCGGCACGTTGCATTCTACAGCAGTCCATAATAAACCAATGAATACCGAGCCTTGAGCACAATCATCCCCTCTTGCTGAGTAATCTTCTTCAGAATACGGTATACACTGAGAGACAGGCGACGCCGGAGGCAGCACTGAGGCGCAATGTTGGAAAGAACATCGAAATAAGTACTGCTGAGGAATACAAATACGGCAGTCCAACGCAAGTCATTGTCGTACCAAGACCTAAAAGAGTCGCAGGGTCGGCCATTCCTACCCACTGTGCGTAGCCAAACGTACGAATCAAACAACCGCGGTGACCTTACCAACCCGTGCTAGCGTACATCACTCTCCTCCATCTCTCTTGCGCCACAACATCGCCATCACAGGGTCTGTCTCACCCGTTCGCCATACTGCGCGAGGTAGGCGTACACGTGCGTGAACCACTGCAACGAGTTGGTTCTACTCTGCGTGTCGAGAAAGCTGTCCATCACCACGTTCTGGGCGCTCAGCTCCACCACCTGGGTCAAGGGTAAGGTTAAGGTTGAGGTGAGGGAAGGGCACAGCAGCGATTGATATTCGTCATTCTGGCCCCATTGCGTTCAGTGCTTCGTTGGACCCGGCCACTTCCGTCGGCGAAGGGGTCGAGACACAAGGAAGCTAAAGGTATCGTGCGGACGAAGACAGAAAAAAAATAGAAAAAATGGTTCGGGCATCCGCATTCAGACAGCGAGCACAACAATTTGATGACGGTAAAATAGGCGTGTTGGTGCTGTTGACGCACAAGACTCGGGGGCATCAAGTACGGTTTGCTGCCAGGCCACCACTTTGCTCCTAACGTCACGCACTCAATGCTCCACGGTGCACCAAAGTACTCCAGACTTGAGAATGATATCGAGTGTCTACAAGGTTGTCTAGTAGATACGCTACATTGCTGTAGATCCCACCAGTGATATGGAGGTATGGGAAAAGATGTCAACACAAGGTGGGGATTAGAAAGAGTGCCACCAGAGTGACTCCCGTAGGGTGAATACTGTACTGTACCTCTTGAAACCCAATGACAAAAACGTCCGGTGGGACGCTGGTGTCTCCCTCCTCATCCAGCTTGTCGACGTCTAGCCACAACCCCATGTCTTCCGCGCTGTCAAGCTTCCGCCCTAAAACAACACAACGATTCATCGCACATCGCAAACAGCCAACACCCCCAATCATCTCTCTTGCGATATATCCTATTGTGAGCGAAAAACCATCCACTTGGAGAAGGGCACTCGGGCCTGTCTTAAAGTTGCCCTCGATAAACCTGCGGAAAACGACAATGTAGGGAGGTCATCCACCCCTTGAGAAGCGAACAGGTTTACCTCAACTAATCGTCTCGTGGAGTAAGTGAGCAGGGTACGAATGGAATGTTGGGGGTAGGAGTGCACAGAGCAACACGGCAGTATCGACATCCCAGCGTAGACTTTGTTAAACGCCTCAGGTACACTGGAACGCATGTTCGTGTCAAGGAGTTTGAAACACTTCCGTGTTGTAGTGATCGATGACAACGAAAAGAAGCAAAGCAACACAGCACCACAGGAACAGAAGTCGAAATGGGAGTCGGCAAACGTCACCATCGCAACATAAGTTAGCCCTGCCTCCGGCATGCCTCGCTGCAGAACGTCGGGAAATATGGTGATGACGTCACTTGTCACGTGTGATTCATGATTGGTGCTGCTGATATGCAGTTGTTGATATTGATAATGCTTGTGATAATATGTTGCAGGCTCCACTCGGCTGGACCTTCGTCATTCGGTGCAAACTCTACCATAGGTCGCATAAACACACGGAGGCTTCGGCACAACAACACGCCCATTGCTCCGTTTCCCGCTGAACAACAGCGGCAGACTACGAGGTGAGTCTTTCGCCCTGCACGTAGCCCAATCTTTCTCGAGTCACGCGTTCGTTACCTGCGACATTCCAGGTGCCACAGAAGACACGAAGATCCAGCACGTCCGCCGCTTCGACTCGAACTTCCGCAGGAGGCTTGATGGGGCTTTCGCTGTCGCCACCGCTATCCTTGTCGCTGTCTCCCACATCCGACATATCTTCCCGCTTCGTGGGCCCGCTGTTGTCATCACCACTATCCTTACCGCTGGCTCCCACATCCAACATATCTTCCCGCTTCGTGGAGCTGCTGCTGCCGTCACCGCTATCCTTATCGCTGTCTCCAACAGCCGAAACCTCCTCCGGCTTCGTGGGGCCGCCGTTGTCGTCACTACTATCCTTACCGCTGTCTCCAACAGCCGAAACCTCCTCCGGCTTCGTCGGGCCGCTGTTGTCGTCACCACTATCCTTATCGCTGGTTCCAACAGCCGACATCTCTTCCCGCTTCGTGGGGCTGCTGCTGTCGTCACAGCTATCCTTATCGCTGGCTCCAACAGCCGAAACCTCCTCCTGCTTCGTGGGGCCGCTGTTGTCGTCACCATTATCCTTGTCGCTGGTTCCCGCAGCCGGCATCTCTTCCCGCTTCGTGGGGCTGCTGCTGTCGTCACCGCTATCCATATCGCTGGTTCCCGCAGCCGACATATCTCCCCGCTTCGTGGGGCTGCTGCTGTCGTCACCGCTATCCTTATCGCTCGCTCCAACAGCCGATATCTCCCGTGCGGATGCAGTTGCTGCCGGATCACGACTCTTGCGGCCATCGCTATCATCTTCCTCCGGCCGTGGTGCAAGCGAACGTGGTGGTGAAATGTCCATGGAGAGGGTGTTCGCCTGTTGCTGTCCTTTCCCTGGGAGGGTCACCACCTACAGAAGTGCAAGTACGTAGCAACAAACACAGACAGTGAATGTTTCTTCCCAACAAAACTGTACTATGGTTTGCCTGTTGCATGGCTCGGGATACTGACCCATCACGAAATGATCCCCCCCACCCCGCTGCCCTGGTCCGGTGAGAACCCGGCATGCTCCGTCCCGGCTTTGTAGGGATGCGAGGTCAATGGTCTAACGACTACGGCATGCACGACTATGAGTAGGTACCTTTCCGGTACCGGTACCCTCGCCGAATATATCGATAACCATAGTTTCACTCATTGATTATACTAGGTATGCGCCAACAATATCGTCCTCCTTAGCCCTTGGGGGGCGGGGTTGTTAGCACGGGCCCTCTTCTGTACGAGGACCGCCACAGCCAGCACGAGGGTCGGAGTTCTTCGGGCAAAGGCAGAGGAAAAGGCTGCGGGCCCAAGGTGAATGAAATTCCTGAATGAGGTCGACCGCATGCTCCCGCAACAACAGCAACATTCCCAGTACCGGGTGGTTCTGCTGCCACAGCCCTCGCAGCGGCTCTCCCCCCCCGCTGGACTCGACTATCCTCTGTTGCCAGACCCTCCGAGGGGTGATCACGGTATGCGTACTTTGCCCGTGACCCCCCACCACATGCTGAATACCCTCCTCCCCCTTCTCCAAAATACTTCTGAATTATGTCCCGGGAACATTTTTTCGCTCAAACTTGCGTCACACACGAAGGTCGTGTGGGGTCTCAGGACGGTGACATGGCACAGCCACCTGCGCCACGGATAAAAAAAAAAAAGGCCTTGTGAAAGCCCACCTGTGATGTGCCAAGTGGCGCTAGATTGCGGTGGCTGCGGATTACGACCTTCCCTTGGCGGAAAATCTCTGGTTCGGGTTCATCGTTTGGGGAACCTGCCGTTAGTGATGACGACGGGGAGCCAGCGTTACTGCCCGCAGCAGTGAGTGATTCCGGGGATCCTGCGTTGCCTCGAGACGCCATGTGTGATGCGGGGGATCCTGCATTGCTTCGCGAACCGATGTACGATGCGGGGGAGCCTGCGTCACTGCGTCCAGAACTGTGCGATGAGAGCCTGCGATGGGTGCGGACGACGAGCTTCCCGCGGTATTGGACCTCTGGTTCGCTTTCTTCGGGCGGGTCGCCTGTTGCATTCATGCCAGCCGCAGCCGCAGGTCGGGGGGAGAGGAGAGAGAGGCAGAGAGACGGAGACAGATAGACGAACAGAGAAGACAGACAAGAAAGAGATGATGACTATCAGAGGCAACGGCATGGGCGAAAGGCAGCACGCACCCATACCATAGTCCACAAATAGCTTCGGAAACGCTTCCGCGCGACTGTTAGGGTTGAACGTTGCAATGTACAGCAACCCCACGAGGGGTACTCAGGTTTCACGTGGAGGAGGTTTGGGAACTGTCTGCGGTCGGGCTGAAAGCGGCGGGAGAAAATACACCTTTTGCCCGTATACTGTAATCGTATCGATGCCACACGATGCTAGGTACGACACTGCTGTGCGTGTTGGGTAGACTACACGATGTTCGGTACGACACTATTGCTGTGCGTGTTGAATAGACTACACGATGTTCAATACGACACTACTGCAGTGCGTGTTGGATAAACTACACGATGTTCGGTACGACACATTGCTGTGCGTGTTGGATATGCTACATTGTACGTCGTACCGCAAGAGGCGGAGAGGTGGCACCCCCTTAAGGTCGATTTTCAAAGCTAAATTGCGCCACATCCACGATTGTGCGAACACCAAAAAACGGCGGTTTCGGAAACACCTCGTATAGAGGGTTTGTCGTAGAAAACTATCGGACTATTCCCGCACCCCCTTGGTCGTGGAGCAATCGAATCGAGCTTTGAACGGCGGTCTAGGGGGGGTGCCATCCCAACGCCTGTTGCGGTACATTACAATCATCAAACATGGCCGCGGTCGTTTCGCACTGCTGTTGTGCAGCAGTCAAGCCCGTTCCCGGTGGGAGACACCACGCCAAGACAGCCAAGACGGAGACAGAGACGGAGACAGAGACGGAGACAGAGAAAACAAGGGTCAGAACCTCAACAAGGAGTGTGGCGGTCAACACGTCAACACGAGAGGCGGGCATTGTCAGTCTCAAAACTTGATTGCCCTAAAAACGCGTCTCGTTCAACGGTACGCCCGCCCAGGGTAGAGCCATGCGCTCAACACAACACCTTCTGCAACCCACCCGAGGCCAAGGCTGAACAAAGGGCGTTTTATCGAAACCAAGGCTTGATACCCTCCTAGTACTGGAAGCCCAAATTGGGACACTTTGGTAACGCACCGTGGTCGTCACCATGCTCCGCTGCGTGAAACGTGCGTGGGAAACCTTGGTCTACCATGCTTGTGTTGGGTGGTACGATACTCCGTGTGATGCCTTTGTGCCTCTCCTGGGCCTCTGGCTTGCTGTGCACAATCTCCCAAGCCGCGGGTTCCCTTGTTAGTAAAACTGTTTGCATTCATATGCATAGCCTAGTATTGGGAAAAATTGCTGACTTGGCTTCAGTATTAGAAAGTATCCCCAGCGCGTTTGGCGACACTTTCCATACTGAAGCCACGTCAGCCTTGGGGCCTCGGGACTGTACAGCGTCTCCCAATGAGCGGACGCGATTATTTCTGGACCCATAACCTGTACCTAACAGGGTGCGAGGAGGGGGTTAGTACCCTGTCCTTTCGCAAAAAAAAAATGTTGAAAATTGTGTTTTTTATTTTTCTTAATATGACACAACGAATCCATCTCTATCATAGAAAAGAGTCAGAGGCAGATTAGCAATGACAATTTCGTCAGTCATTGGGGCTACAGAAGTCCCTCGAAAAGAATCTGAGTTTTGTTGCCAATCAAAAGGATGACTTGGCTTCAGTATGAAAAGTGTTCCAAAAACACGTGGGGACACATTTCATACCGCATTCAAGTGAGCAAATTTTTCCAGTAAATTTACCAGGCGATGTACAGTTTACGACCTACTGAAGGGGACACGCGGCTTGGGAGATGGTGTACAGCAAGTCAGAGGCCGAGGAGAGACATCACACAGCATACCACACAGCGTACCACCTAGCCAAGCATGATAGAACAAGGGTTCTCACGTGCATTTCACACAGCGGAGCCGTGACTCGGTGCGGCAAATAGGCATTTGAGTGCTGTGTCCCCAACATGTCCCCATTTGGGCTTCCAGTACTATCTATAGGAGGGTTAACGGGGGGGAGTTAGACCTGCTTGTTGTCTCGAGGTTAAAACTTCAACACAACCACAAACACCAAGTTCAATGACGCTGCGCAAGAACAAAAACGTACTTCGCTGCGCTATGCAAACATATCGCAAAACTAATCAAATGTGGGACCTCGCGATGAAAGATTAGGATGCTGGTAGGCCAGAAACATTTATTCCGGGGAGAAACCAACTTCCCGTAGGTCGCGAGCTGGCAATCATCTCCGGGATAGAGTCTCGGTGCCACAAATTTGTGCGTCCCAATTGCCAAAATGCCACACTATACGTGCCCTCTCTTCTCGGCACTATTCAAAAAGGAGGGAAGCAATGCTTATGCTTACCAGAATCATGCACACATGACAAGATACCTTCAGGTCTAAGAACATCGTCCCGGAGAACGGCCAACCCTGGGGAATGCTGTGCTATTAGTTCTTGTCGTGGCAACCAACTGGAGAACAGGGTCACGGCTCGCGGTTTGACGAGAAGGCTCAACGGTGGGGCCTTTGGCCTTCGGAGCATTTAGAACAGAAAATGCAACCAGCGGATCAGTGGGCAGAGCAACCCTGCCGTCTACTCACCCACCTGCCCGGCACTCTATCTGTCTACCTATCCATATGCCTTGCTCTTTGTGGGCACAACGCACGCACACAAGGCCAGTCAACTCGGCGCGTCGCCAAATCGCTCCTGGGCGTGAGCTGCAGTGTATGCATGTCACCTTTGAAATCGGTCGAATTCAAATCCTGGCTCAGTCTGCCAACTCCCGGCACAAACGGAGGGGCACGTCCGTCGAGGCTATTGCGAGCCTTCGTGTAGAGGTCGTCACACTCGGCCTTCGTCAGCAATCGTGGTGAATCGTCTTGTTCATCCATGCTGCCGCAACCCCTCTGCGAGCCCTGCTCGGCAAGAAGTTGGTAAGTCAAAGCAGCACAGCAGTCGCAGGACTGCTGCTGGGAGGGGGGGGGCGCAGCTTCATGTAGCCCAACATATGCATACCCTATGATAGGAAAGATCTGTTATTTTCGCGGACCCCTCGTCATGGACAGAGACAAAACAGCAACACTCAGCACTTGAACAACCACAAACGAGGAAGGGCCAGCTACCCTGACCGAGGATACAAAGCCATGGACAACAAGGACAGGGCGGCCACCTTGGTTGTCGGTGCCATTGCCGGAGCTGTGGCCCTCTCGTTGTACAACAAGACTAAGACTGCTAGGAGCTCGGCCAGGGGCTCTGCTGCCTCGCTCAACAGCACCAGCACGCCCGCTGCTGCAGCCCGAAAGGTGATCGATCGATCTTGTTGTGCATATGCTTGATGAATATGGGGGCAAGGTGTGCGTGCCGCTACATGTACATGCTCTACTATTGCATTGCCTTGATTTGCAGACCGTTGGGCCGTACATGCTCCGATTTGTAAGGACGGGAATCCTAATCCCTGGCACATACATTACTGCTGCATGTGTACCGTACAGGAGTTCAGCAGGGTACACGTACTGACGGTTATTCCAGGGATCGGTCGCGAACACGCTGGTCCCAGCGGTGATAGCGCATCCCCCGGACAGAGTTCATAAATCGAGTACTCTTGCAGCAAAGACAGCGTGATGCCCGAATTGGCGGTTGGCACCGTCTCGTAGAGAGCCTCCCTAAAGCTCATCATTTGAATCGTGGCATGTGGCATGTGGCATCCTCTTGGTCGTATCTGTAGCGCACACTCCAGCTTTGAAAATCGATCCGAGGGGTGTGGTATCTTACGCAATGTACGCTTACTATTACTATAATAATGATAGCATATCATACCACAGCCGACATCCCCTTGTGCTTGCAGGATCCCTGTGCCCTGACCGCAAGAAAAGTTTCCGGGCGTAGGCGATTGAATGTTGTTGCACCATGATGATGTTGTGCTGAAACGGAAACCTCTCAGGTGGATTCGGTGTCCTCGTCGGATGATGAAGACGACGATATCAGTCGGGGCGTTCTGCTCCGGCCGTACGAGCACGACAAGCGGATGAGGGCGAGGATACGACAGGCCGCGGGCGCATCAAAGGTACGCATATATACCTACCTGTGTATTTTCGTTGATTGTACACTGCTGTAGCAATAGCCTACCCACGACAGACTGCTGTTCTGCTATTGCACGCCTGTCTCGTGCCACACCATACACTCGTTGCCCTTCCTGTTTACTAGTATACGACGGTTGTAACGGTGCAACTCTGCCGTTTAGAAATTGGTGAGGCACGAATTAGAAATTTGTGTGCACATGAATATTTTGAGCGGATAGCTCTGCAGCCAAGCAGGCTTGATGAAGGCACGGACAAGTACATCAGCGGTACGCAGAGTGCACGCCCACTACCCGCCGTTCTTTCCCGGTTTCTTTATTGCGGTTTAAAATCGTTCTTGTGTCGATTCCGCGATTGCTCTGATAGTCATGATGCCATGATCAATTTGACCTGACGTTGATGGGCCGGCTTCCGGCCGAAATGGCGATCACCAACATATACCGTATACCGTATCATGCCACTATATACATCGCAGCCACTGAGGTCGGTAATGATATCATACATCGCATCCATTCACCTGTATCGCTGACGTTCTAGCTGCACGCTCAGCGCCAAGTCGTCCAACACGATGCCATCCTTCACCTCCTGTGGCGTTTTCGCCTGCTGCTCTTTTGCACGGACGTGGCGCTTGTACTGCTGTGCTCACTGTCGTGCAAGGATGACGGCGAGTCTGGTGGTGGGCATGGAAAAGAGTACCCTGTCGACGACGACGACGCGCAACGACTGCAGCGCACCTACAGCATCCGGGAAGAGGTGGTCAGGTACACTACACTACACTACACCACACCACACCACACTACAGTACAGTTACAATAACAATACGATACAATACGATACACTACAAATTCGCGTTGGTTGCCTGAAGCAGGGGTGACTGCACGTGTTCACCACGCGGAGGGAGTTGAAAAGTTGAGAACGTCCAGGGCAGGCAGTTCCTCCGAATGCTAGATTTGATCGCGAGTCACGTAGTACAGTTCCGTCGTGTGCACAACAACAGTCGATCGAACAACCGCAAAGCCAAGCAGCTGAGAGAGTGCAGGGTGCGTAACGACGTGCGTGATGGCGTGTTAACGATGATTATGACCCATGATTTTTATCGATGTCATGGTTGCGGTTGACTTTTCCTCCGTTTGCTGCGGCGCCACCCTAACCTTATGGTATGTTTCAGGGAGGCAGCGATGGAGCGAAACCGCGTGGTAGTTCGGGTGCCAGCCACTAGCGCCAACATGGGGCCTGGCTTTGACTGCCTCGGTATGGCGCTCAGCATCTGGTCGGAAGTGACGATGGAGCGCAGCGACAAGTGAGAAACCGTATCATGCAACGGACTCTCACGGCAATCTCATCTCTCAGCCTGTTGACTCTCAACACGTCTTGTTTCGATAGTCAGGCGAATACTTGGCGTATTACACGGCTGGTATTATAGTCACGTGCTGATGCAGTCCATGGATGACACGATCGACTGCCATCATCATACTACTACACGTTGTTAGCTGCGGGCCCACAGGGCGGTGTAGATGGTAAAGCAGGTAGCCTTCGCAACATTGCGCGCGTACGTAGGTTCCAGCACTCTGCTGTTGGGAGATTTGGGAGATGAGATCAGTCGCCGGCTCTCAATCTTTCCGCATCCCAGCGTCATGACGCCAAACTCGCTTAACGCTTGGCAGTACTACTTTTTTTCTATCTCTTGTACAAGTAGGGAGTGAGTACTGTTGCGGACGACGGACCGCAGTAATGTATCGGTAAGCTTACTACTAATACTATCAAACTTGGCCAAGACCTGTGGACCGCATAGAACCTTCTTTTTTCCGAGAGCCACGCCGTAGCAACCGTATGTTATCATCGCAAGTGACCTTTTCCCTGGCAACACACAGACGAAAAAAGTTGGACCTCATGTACCGAGCGGAGAAGCAAGTGTGCCGAGTCGACGCGCCCTATCACATCAAGCTTCACGGAGTGATTCGGGTTATTTGAGTGACTTGTACGGTTGTTTTGCCGTGGCAGGTTCGAGATCGTGTTCGAAGGGGCGGGTTTCGAAGAAGTGCCATTGGACGAGACAAACCTGCTGGTGAGACAAGCAAACCAAAGAAATCATGGCCCAAGGGAAGGCCGCTATTTAGGGATGAGAACGAGGAGCCCACTCAACCATGGACAGGGCTGGGAGTGCAAGAGAATTTCCCTTACATTGCTTGAAGAACGAACCATATGCACATCACATAACTGATCGAAGACGGCTACCACAGCGTGATGATCGTTGGTGCTGGCCTAATATAGATTATATTGCCGCCGGCGGGTCCCGCCCCCCTTCGAGGTAAAGCTGGGTTTAATGTGCTTAGTGTCTTGACCTTGGTGTGGCCGGCGATACACCTGGTTCGGCCGTGTACCAGTGTTCTTTGGCTACCCTTTGGCATGGTAGCTCTGCTTTCCTTTAAAGCGCCTCACCAACAAAACCCCTGTTGGTAGAATTGTCCATGTAGTTGATTAGTGGATGCCATACGTGGGAAGGTTGCAATACAGTAATAGTATTACCACGTGAAGGGAGAATCTAGCCCAGATGAACGCCCAACTCTCGTGGCTTAAAAACCAATCTCGTGACATGATGCCAAGCTTTGAAAACCATCGCCTGACGCGAGAATCGCCTTCTTTTTTGTTGGGAGGGCAAAGCGATTGCGGCTATCTCTCCTACGTTACGTGTACAGCTACAGTAAATAGCTATTATAGCTGTTGCACCGTCTTTTCTGGCAACCGTTCGTTGTAGGTGACGGGGGCAAAGGCGGCCTTCAAGGCCGCCGGAAAGGCGATGCCCCCGTTAAGGTACAAGTGCGTCAACCGCATCCCTTACGCACGCGGCATGGGCAGCTCGTCAGCCGCTATCCTCGCCGGCCTCATCGGAGGACTAGTACTCGCGGGGCACAAGCTGCCAATGTGGGGGGCGGAGGAGCTGCTGCAGCTGGCGTGTGAGATCGAGGTGTGTGCCCCAGACTCAGCCTTCTTCTTTGTGAACAGTCACAGCTGCGATAGCTGCGATAGCTGTATGCGTGCGGTATGTATAGTACCTGGAGAAGCATGTTCTGCGGATAGTCAGCGCTCAGAGCCTTCGGCGAGGGCCATGGTTTTGCGTGGCGTGGCCGTATAGGGTGTGTCTCACCAACGGGACCAGACTATTGGACTAGAGGAAATCGTTTCTGCACAGCAGTTCCGTGCCTAGTCGACGCCTCGGCCCTGAGCCACAGAGTTATGGGGGTTGGTGATACGAAACGTACTATTATGGCGGTTTTCCGGCTCACCGACCAATGGCTGTTTGGGACGATGAACAACACGCGACGGTGCATGGTGATGGCGTCCATCGTTTCTCGCGTGCCAAGCGTGGTTGTGTCCCCCTAACCAGAACGAGGCACCACTGCTGTTGGCGGTGCCTAAGCGGTCCCTATCCTTGCTCTTCTATCACGTTTGGTGGTCCGTTTCGGTCGAAAATCCCCGCTCACGCCATCCCTTGGTGTGCCTCTTGGCATTACACCGCATCAAATCTGCAGGGTCACCCGGACAATGTGGCACCTGTTATCTACGGAGGCTGCCAGTTGGGCATCCACAACCACACGAGATGGATCACGGAGCGAGTGCAGCTACCCCCCGGCATTCAGGTACCATAGCTGGTCGTAGTCATGGTACGTATTTGCGGTACTCATGTCATTTCAGACATTTTGCATTGCTTGCACATGGAGGAAAAGCACTCTGGTGGGGGTGACGCCCTTGTCATGGCATGGCACTTGAAGCGTTATTTTGTGCTGGGTCTCAGCGCGTCGTAGGCCTCGCCTGCCCTTGCATGCTGCACTGCACACACTGTCAGTGCTAGAAATGATCCACCGGATGCAGGAGCTTTCCCGAGAGAATCCCAAATCTTTCTGCACGGTTGCTGCCTTTAAGTCGTCTGTGTTACGTACATGTGTTTTGACTCCGTGCCTTTTAACGGTACTGCTGTTCGGTGCATGGAACGCAGGTGGTCCTCTTTATTCCGAACTTCATCGGCAAGACTTCAGACGCTCGAGCCGTCCTGAAAGATCAGGTCGGTGGTCAGTGGGCGAGCCTTACCTCGCCTTTCACAAACCCTTGCCTGCGTCCAAACCTTGGCTGGTTTTTCCACGGGATCGTGGATTGGTCGACGCGTGAGATCCTTTCAGTGCATCCATGCCAACCGGATTAGTCGCTGCGATGTTATGGTGGCTGGGTGGGTGATAGTTATTGTTTCATGCTCCGCATGGTCAAGTGCCGAAAAGGTTTTTTGCGCGGCCATGTCCTCGTCAAGGGCTAGTCCCTGTGAATGATAGTTCTACGTCGTATGCATACACACCTGTCCCCGCTATTACTCCTCTCCATGGGGTTAAAAAAAACTTCCAAGGTTGATCGCAAAGACGCCATTTTTTCGATCGGGAGGATCGCTTGGCTCGTGCTGGCGCTGCAGTCGGGGAACGTGAACAACCTGCGTGCCGGGTGTGAGGACAAGATGCACCAGCCGCAGCGGGCCCGCCAGGATGCCTACAAGCACGTGAGTCGCTAGTTCATGTTGTAGGGTTTTGCTCTGCCCGACGCTGGCACATCCGTACTCCGGGTGGGTGCATTTGAGGACAATTGGCCGTGAAGCGTTGAAGACATACGATACGGTTACGCTCCCCGCTTTGAAATCCACTGCTGTCCACCGCGAGAGGTGAACGTGAAATGTATACATGTATGCTTTGCCTGTGTGGCAGGGAAAACACGGCTCGCCTTTACGGCAAAACGGCAGCACGAGTTGACGGTGTGACATGAGAAAGCTTATCTGTTCCAAGCTTCGCTGGTTGTTTTCGTACCCATGAATGGATCGTGAATGTAGCGCAACACCTAGAGACTTGTCCCTCGATGGCGAGGAGTGACGACGGCATGACTTGGTCACGCGGCATTCCTCCTCCACCGTACGTTTCATAACTCCCCTTTAGTCCATTCAACAAGTAGTACAAGTATTGTAGTCTACGATTGTTCTTCTACGAAAGCAAACCTACTGCATAAGGTATAGAATCGGTTAAGTTGGGATCAGGGTTAGGGTCTGCGTAGGCAGTCCTCAGTCCTCAACAACAACATGTCGGGCACGATGCCATGATGACGCCATGATCACGACAGGTGAACCCGATGATCGAAGCGGCTATCGCAGCGGGGGCAGACACAGCCTACCTGTCTGGCTCTGGTCCTACCGTGGCCGCGATCACCTCCGGTGCCGCTGGAGACATCTTCCTGCAGAGAACCAAGGAGAGGGTAGACAAGCAGGTGAGGTGAACCTTTGAGGCTCAACCTATGCAGCACCGCGCGAATAGCGAGATGAGTGTAGTGTTGCTATGCGGAGGAAAGAATGGGAGGATTCGATAAATACACACATCGGGTTCGGTTGCTGTTTTGTGTAGCGATGCATATATGATTATCGCAGTAGCAAGTGTGTCCAGGCCTTAGGGTGAGGGCTACGCCGACGTAAAAAGAGCACCCACGAGAGCGAGCTTCAAATGCGAACATGTTTTGATAGGTCGGCCGCGCAACCTTGCTGCGAATGCGCCAAAGGTTGATGCCATTGGCTGTGAAGCACGTTGCCGTTGGCGATATTCCTCAACGGGTTTTGAACCATGAAGTAAATAAAGCTATCCCCGTGGCTCGGACCTGACGCAAGACAATTATGATGACAAACAATTGTTTTTTGCCAGGAAACGAACAGGGAATTCATGAAAACGGCATAAATAGTTGTTTTCATGCATGCCACAAACAGAAATTATCTTCCGTTTTTCTTCTCACAACTGGCAGCATTTTCTTTCCTGTTATACCCCCGTCCTCCTCCGTAACTTGTTTGATTCGTCGAACCTTGTGTTGTGTTTCATGCGTGGGGCGCGCGACATGAACAGGTGGCAGAAGCTATGCTTCAGGCGGCGGCAAGCGTTAACGTCGGGGGTGAAACTTTCATCACTACACCGACAGACGGAGGGGCCTACGTCGTCAGCGCGGAGCCCAAGTTTTCGGAAGGTGCCATCCGTTACCCTGGAGATGTCTGAGGGCGGCAAGTAGACCGCCCATCAGCATATTTTGGATCAACGCAACTTGCAAGGAATTGCTGGTGCTGTGTAGCATGAACACGGAAGACTTGCGATAGGCGATAGATATCACGTTGGCTGGCTCGGCGGAGGGTACGTCAGTTACAGCAAGCCAGTGGGACATGGATGTGCACGAAAAGCCTGCCTGGCTGTGAGTTAGTAGTGTTTGTTGACGTGTGCGATTTTTCGTGAGGAGACACGCATGTGCTCAATAGTCTTGGGTGCTCAACATCGCTCAGATACTGCTGTGATCGGTCCGTGCACTTTGTTGGAAAGGGTGGCTGAGGATGCTGCAGATGATACTTGGTGGTAGGACTGCATGTCCTTTGTTCTTCGCGGTTATTTCATTCATCTCGTCTACAGCAGTCTAGGCGGTTACAGAGGATAGTGTGCTACTGTTGTACGCGATAGCTGACCAGTACTTGCGTGTTGAGCGTGTGGAGGCTTTCGAAATATCCAAGTTCGCGTGTGCACTACGTTGTAGTATACGCTCTTAATGTTGTCCTAAGGTTGGAGGAGCCATGCAGGACACAGGAATGGCACACAGCGTTCTAACGCTGATCGAATCGGCTCTGTTCACGAAGCTTGTTTAGGCGAAGTGCCTGGATTGATTAGAAGCGGAGTGTGTGTCGGGCAAAGTCACAACTACACTGCTCTGTATGGCGAACTCGCCCCGTATTTTGAGGTCATGTGCAAGATCGCTCCACTTCCAGTGGGAGACGTGTCTGTGTCATCGTGCAAGCGGGTGGGGGGCTCGTTGGGGCACCGTGTTACACAGTAACGTGTTTGCTTGTTCACGTTCGCGTTGTTGGAGAGTCAGCAAATTCTATCAAGTGAGGAAGTTGCGTATCGTGAGCGACTATTTACTTGGGCGTTTGACTGTTTTTGTACATTCCGTCCCAATGTAGAAGTCGATCTTGGAGGTAAGGAGGTAAGTGCGTGTATGTGTGTTGTCCTGCTTGCTGCTGCTGCTGCTGCTGTTGTCGTCGTTTTGCTACGGTTAGCCGTTTTTTGCGTGCGACGTCTGTTGTTGTGTTTGGCTTCATGGTCTTGAATCAAGCGGTTGGTTTTTAGTCTCTCCGTTGTGCCTTGATCGCGTGTTTGAAACGATTGAGAGGCGTGGGCACATGCTACTCATCTCGTCCACTCGAGGTTGATGCATTCTGCACGCGGCGGCATTGCCAAGGCGGGCTGATCAACGTACGAAGAGGTCGAAAAGATCAAAGAGCAGACGCATCTTATCGTCAACAAGCGTCCCTCACGCAAAACGCGTTACCGGAAAAGGTAGAGCAGCAAAGTGTGGCCTGGCTCCGTTGTGTTTGCTCTCCAACATGCCCGACCGGGACTGATACGCATGAAGCGAGGACGTCATATTATGCGGTAGGAGCTGCTGCTCCGAAACATGGGAAACGGTTAATTTTATTCGCATCAGGTATGCGTGCACATCTTCGCAAACCGGCTCCCTGTCAAGCGGTGGGTGACCTTGCCTTCCTCTATCACCCGAAATACAGACTAGATAATCCAAGATCTTGTATCCCCAACGTTGGCAAGTATGCATATAACAACGCAAGACAGGAAATACTCCCATCACTACTGCTGTGGCGGTCGTGGGCTTGTCTCCTACTCGTCTGCTCCTATGGCTCCCATTTGTCGTCCCCCTCCAGCACACCACTCCACCAGGCCGTTTTGTCTCGGGCAGCTCTTCGTTTCTTCACGGTCAGCGCCAGCATCTTCCCGTCGTCGTTCTCGTCTTGTAGGAAAAAAAAAAAACACTTGTTGTTACTACCAGGTGTGAGAGGGCGATGGCAGCAACATGACTCTTCTACTGTAGAGCTAGCGTGTTGCGATGAGGGCAAGCGACACAGCACTTGTACAAAAATATCGCAAGCTCGAACCATTGAAGTGCCGTTCAAGAACGCGTGGAAGCAACGAGTGTGAAAAAAGCAAAGAATGCAAGGAACCAGACCGGGGGGCAACAACGGGATGTCCCTAGACTCACTCTGGTAAAAAGACGGGTTATCATCAAGCAACGCCAGTGAGGCACTCAACACATCAGCGAGTCTAACTCCGCCAATACAAATCCGTCGTAATCATCCGCTAGGTCAAGACGATGGCAGCTGGCAGCAGGAACGCAAGCTCACCCAGCATCCACACAGAGTCGAGGGGGCTAATGAGGCCCTTAAACTTGCCCTCCAGGGGTTCAAAGTCCGGCCTGTTCGAGAAGGAAACGTGTATCCGGTCTCCCGCGGGATCGAGGTCGAGAGTGGTCTTTCGCTTTGTCACGTCATCTGGGACGGGGATCTGCAACTGGATTGGTTCACAGAAGAAACAACACAAAACAGCACAGGAAGCATGTGCGAAATCGTCTCAAAGGTCAGCAGATGCCATGCGATGGACCAGTGCAACCTTCGACGACGCGCGGCGTCTGTTCTGACGTTACTATTATACTCTTACCGATGTGCGTCCTTGCAAGCTGCCGGGTTCTCAAGGCGCGGCATGGCCACTATTACAGCTCACGCAGAGAAGAACGACAACAACAACTGGTGGTGACGATACCGCCATACCCCTACCAACGACACGGCACGGACCTCTATTGTTTCGGCGTTTTGCTTCCAGCTGTAGCGCGGCGTTTCCCCTTTGAAACGGATGGTAGGGCTCTCCTCTTCACCCTGCAGTAGCTCGTGCCAAAACTCGTACATCCCTTTTCCGAAAAGAAGCAAGCATACAGTGACTGTGTTAACCGTGTACACAGTGCTAGCTCACTTCAACCGTTACAGTACCGTAACAATCTACTACTGCTGTAAAACACCGTTACAGTACCGTAACAATCTACTACTGCTGTAAAACATAAGTAATTTGACGTACGACGTACAACATTCGGGCTGCATCGCAATGAGAGGAGCTTAAGCCTCTTCGAATTACCTGGCGCGGTCAACTTCACGATCTCCAGGTGGATGTACGGTTCGTTGAACCGACTGTGGATCCGAAAGCTGCAGCTTCTTGCATCCACATCCCCAGGGAACACGCCCTACATCCATCGGCGCAGAAATCAGACGCGCACACCCAGGCCCACGAAACACGTGATGTGTAGGTACAGCGGGAGACAGCAGCAGTGTCGGCAACAACCAGCGAGAGCCCACAGAAAAACTGCGAAAATCGATCAGATTTAGAACAGTTTGACAGACCGACGCAAGCCAATGCCGCGTTCCTGTCATACTTGTACAGTATGGACCTCGTAGATTTGACAGCAAATTAATTTATTAATTCCACTGCATGTTCTTTCCTCCAGACAACATCAATACTTACCCGGACCGAGTTGGGGGTATAAAGCAGTTTGGACCGAAGGAGACAGACCCACCTTCAAGCAGCTCAACGACCTCACATGTGTCCCTGTCGAGGAGGAGATAGATAAACCCGAGTTTACCCCTCAATCGACAACATGTTCGATAGAGCGCACACTCGAAAACTGGTAATTTATGCATACAACATTCAAGGGCCAATCGAAACGAGTAGCCTATAGCCGAAGCCGCACCGTTATTGCCCCGAAGGACTCGTCCGTCTTGATGGCCACCTGCATCTGGTCCTTCTCCACCACGAGGTACAGGTCCTCGTCTCTGCAGGCTTTCAGCATCGGGATCTCAACGTCGAAAGTGGTCTCCGTCTGTGTCCAGCGGTAGCGGTGGCACTGGCGCTGCATCGGCAAGTCTCGGAGGTTGTGCCTGAGTTCCGTGAGCCGGTCGATGTCCTCCTGGCGCTTCCGCGTGTTTCGCTTTTTGGCTCTTTCGTAGTACTCTCGCTCCAACCTCTGGTTTCAGTTTCGGCGGGGTGGGGCGGGAGCGGGATTATTAAGAAAAATAGATAACAAACACAGAAAGATCACCCGTTCGAGACACAAACACAGTCGAACAGGATGTGTTGGAGTCTTTGCAGTGAGTGGAGGGAAACCGGCTGGGTAGGGGGCTTATTTCGAGTATATTTACGCCTATACACGGGGTGGTATGAAGAAGCGAAATACGCTGTGGCGTCTTGTATTGTACGTGCATGTGGTGATGGGGTGCAGCAGTGCCAACTGACTGCAACCAATCTCCACGCCTGAAAAGAGAGAGAGATAGAGAGCTGGCACGAGACCATGCCTGGGCCACTGAAGATATCGAAAAAGGTATTGCTAACGCTTGGCAGATGCTGCTGTACCCTTCGAGACGTCAACTGCTATAGTCACCGCGGCGGGGACTACGAACACGTCATGTAGCGACCACTCCGACGCTGGCCCTTCTTCAACTGCTTGATACACAACACGTGCAAACTTGCGTTTCGCGAAACCACACGCGTCTTGTCTTGTTTCTTGATGACTTCATAGCGCGCCAGGGAGAGCGACGGCAGGAACTACCACCACCACCCACCTGCAACTCATTGGGATCCTCCGGGATACGTTGCGCCTGCGAGGGCATCCAAGACTCTCCTTCGTCTTCTCCTTGCTCTGATGCGGCGGAGGCTCGGCGGGACTGTGAACATCGTGCGGCCCGCGGTGTGTCCTGGTGTGAGATCGCTTGCTGGGATGCGAGACCGGTTGGTCTAGGGAGGGTTGGAGCTAAGAAGCCGGCACCAGGGCTCACAGCTGCCAGTAGTGTTGCTACTATCACGGCCACCGCCATCTCAGGTACCTCTCTCTCGCTCGTGTGTCAGATGCAGAGGAGAGAGGCGAGACCGCACAGCAGGCGGGGGAAGCCTACAATCACCCCGAACCAAACTTCCTTTGAATTTCAAACTGCGGAGCCCCGCAGCGACCATGCATCGTGCTACAGGGTTGTGACGGAGCAGCACACAGCCAGCAGGCCAGGTGCTTGCCAACACACAGATAGGAAGAGAGGAGGTGAGGATATTTGATGCCTCGTGTGTTCCGTGCAGAAACGAATAGCTTGCCTCTCCTGCAGCAACGTAACCACACGAGTTCCTGGCAACAGCATTCACCTGGAATCCAGCAAGCACACAGCGCAGGTGGCATCTGCCTCGGCAATGGATACAACCAACGACGTTTCTGCAGCGTCACGTCTTCTTTGTGCGCTCTGCTGCTGTTGTGCTCTTGGATATTTATCTTTGGTCGTCCCTCTGCAGCATGTTGCCGGTTATATCATACCGTATGTAGCGGTCGAGATCAGCTCGCAAATACACAACTCTTTCGTGAACGTAGACAGGGTGACAACAGACAACAGCTGCTGTTGTAGTCTACTGTACAGACGCCAGCAGCGTTGTCTTGTACTGCTGTAGTCTAGTCTAGTCCTGTTCCCGAGCACGAGGAGTGTCGTGCAACTAGAGTATACGCAGTTGGCATCGCGTTACATTACAGCAGAAGTCCTGTATCCTTTGTACGGCACAACGCATACCCCTCAGGGGCGACATTTCCATGAGTGCGAAAAAGTCGGGAAGTGACTGCAGTCTTGCAGGGCTTGTGGTGCCGGCGGGGGGGGGGTCCAGGGTGCGTTTGTGTGCGGGGGATGGCGCTGGCTGCCAAATTGTGCAAAGTTGTTGCTCAAGTCCATACATAGGCTGGCGGGCTCCGGACAAAGTGAACTACAAGACCGCCCCTTGCATTTACATATACCCAAGTCCAAGGTGTAGACTACGTATCAACAGCCAAGAGGACGAGGAGTAAGGCTGACTTGTGCCATTGTACCATTGCTCCTTAGATCTAAAACCGTGTTGTCTTCATTGAACGGTACTCATCGCGAATGTTATGTGGAGGATTGAGTCACCCGTTCAAGCTTCGAGTAGTAAACTGCCCAACTACTACTGTACTACAGCTGTGGCACCCATCCGTCGATAGTCGGATAGTGTGCAGAGGTCTACAAGCCGGCTGTCAAGTAGGCCAAAATAACAAAATAACGAATGGTTTAAACACATGACCTAACAGTATGGAGAATCCTGAGGATATCGATAGCCCAAAGACTCTCTGTAGGAAGAGGCCAAGGGCCTTTTAAAAGGAAATCTTTCCGGGTTCTGGGGGGCAGTGTGGGCGTGAGAGAGGTGTGACACGGAGGGGGGGGACCGTGCGAGGGCATGCTATCCTCCAGGTAACATCGTATCTCGGGGGAGAATCACCCACGAGTTTCCTGTACTCTCACTTTGCCGACAAAATAGATGCAAGTCTGTTCCATCTTCCTATCACACAGTTCTCCATACTGGACTCCGACAACGATAGCCACAGGTCTGTTCCGCGGCCTCTTGCACATACACATATTTTCTCCCACCTGTACTAACTGCGTGACCCGGTCGTTTTTTGCGGTGCGGTGGGCCTAAGAATATGTATCCTCACCCGCTTTTAAATGCTGACTGCTGACAGAGAGAATACGGCGAGGAAAAGGAATCAAGCAGACGCCAGCAGGGAGTCAAGCGGGAGGTGACCATGGCGGGAGGGCAACAGCAACAGAGTATCGACCTGTCGGTGCTGTCGCTGGAGCAGCTCAACCAGATGAAGACGCAGCACGAGGAAGAGGTTCAGACTCTGTCGGGGAACTTCATGAAACTCAGAGACGCTCAGGTAGGTCACAAGATGCTGCCAGCCAGTGCTGCACGTTGATTCGACTCATGGCATTCGAGCACTCACGGACTACACGGGCTGCCTATGCATACCACTGGGGATGGGGACCAGCTCGACTTCGGTTTGGCTTACAGGCTATAGACGCTCAGGGATGTACTGTATCAAGACCTGTCCTTGACCAGGTTTACGACACCTCCCATATACATCCAACGCTAAATAGCCCCAGAGCCGCTTGGATCCCAACTATGGAAGCCGCGCCGTAGGTATCAATTCCACGTCGGCGTTAGAGTTTGCGGCACGTCCCGATCCTTGCGGAGTGACGTTGCTGCCGTTATCACGCACACTTGCTCAAGCTCAGCCAACGTTGGATGCCACATTTCTTAGCGCCTCATGATTTTTGATTGGAACCAAACTACGAGGTGAAATTTTCTGTGCTACCTTAGAAGGTTTGGGAGGGTGATCACTGCTTCCGTATCGAGTGTCAATTGCCTGTATCTCCCTCTCCCTCCTGTGTTCCACAAAAGCTATGCATGGCTATGCATGCATGTATGCACGATGATGCCAATACAACGTATGTACACCCCCGCTTCTTCGACTCTTTGTTTGACATTGACATGGCATCACGCCAGGCACGATTTTCTGAATCGATCTCAGCGGTGGAGGCGTTGGGGAGCAAGACGGAAGACAAGGAGATTCTGGTGAGAAGAGAGAGGAGAGACAAGCCTTACCGCTTCTGTGCAATGGGAGCAGTCGGTCCATCCTTGGTGAACCTCTCGCGCCTCAGTGGGCAACGATTTCATGCCGCATGTGTGCATCACCTGCTTCCTGCTCGTCCACGCTACCTAAAAACTGTCGTCGGCATGATGGATTGCTGCTGCCGATATGTGACGGAATGCCTTGCCCGGTATATTTATTCTGTCGCTGTTGCTGCTGCTGCTTCAACTCCTGCTTGCATTTCGTCGGTTTCGAAGGTACCGTTAACCCAGTCGCTGTACGTGCCGGGGCGTATCGTTGAGGCGGACAAGATGATGGTGGACGTGGGGACGGGCTACTACGTGCAGAAGGACCAGCAGAAAACGGCAGAGTTCCTGGGGAGAAAGGTGAACGTCGCGTACACTATTAACGGCCATGTGTATTGTTGGATGGAACAGTGTCGTAGAAATGCTGGATACCTATGTCCGCCAAACATTGCTGTCCTTGAAATCGAAGGGCAGGGAAGTTACAGTACACAATTCTCCTTCGTTTGCACAATCCCGTGCGTCCCTCCTCTCCCTACTACTACACCCAACCGGTCCTCACTGTTCCTAAAATCATGTGCCCTTTTTCTCTCTCTCTCCCTGACCCGCCTTGTCGGGATCACCCTCCTACAACTGACAGACACAATGTCATGTTGTTGCCCTTGCCGCAAATACCTCTTTCTCGATTTTGCAACCATCTGTTTGGGAACACAAAAAAATACAGAAAGACATGGTGACGACGAACTTGGAGTCTCTCCGCAATGCGATCGACGTCAAGCGCAAGAACCTGGAGGCTATCGTGATGGTGATGCGGAGAAAGATCGGCGACATCGAGACGAAACGAGCGGAGTTCAAGAGCAGCGAAGAGGCCAAGGCATGAGGAGGAGGCGGGGGGGTGGCGCTAAGCTACGCACATTTGAAGAAACAGCGCGGAGTCATGTGGAGTAGGCCAGCATGTTGAACGGTATCGGCAGTGTGTGTGTTTTCGAGGCACAAGGCTCTGTCGCGGAGCTTACATCCTTGTACAACCAGGCTTTCTAGATTGAATCTGAGCGGTTGTCGATCTCCACCAGCTGCGCTCTGCGTGTAGCTGTTAATAAGTCTCTGTATCGTAGTGAGTGGCAGACGCTGTGAGTGCATCGCGCGTCGCTCTTGGGCGGAACCTCATGGGCAACGTGCTTGCCTTCTGAATGGCTGGTTGACTACCGATGGTTGCCAGCTCAATGAAGCCTATGTCCCGAGCGCTTGAGAAACGGAAACAATCGGCTTTCATTCCAGGCCAGCCCCTTGGCATTCTTCAAAGCTCCAAAGGAAGGACCGTGCTGTGGCATGAACGATTCGAGTGCCGTGTCTGAACATTGTTATCTGTAGATGCGGCATCTCAGTCAAAGGTACGTATGTCATTTGGACGCTCGGGCCGGCAGGTAGACAGACGTCAATCCCGACTTTGTCATTCGCGGAAGCAGGCTTGTTGTAGAGAGGAGAGGGTCGCATGTTAAGCGATGTGTTTGGGCCGAAAGCAGTTCCCTGTACAACCTAGGCTTGTCCAGGTGGGATTTCAAGGGGTCAAGAAGCCAGGCAGACACGACAAGAGTCGAGCCTGCCGTCCTCACGCGTACAGCACTAAGCGTTGTGCCTGACCGTTGCGAAAGCAGGTTTGGCGCTGGGGAATTGGTTCTGTACAACATTAGGTAATCTGCAAGGGGCTTGAAAATGAGTACCAAATGAGTAATTGTTCAGGTCCGAAGGGTACACGGATCAAATTATCGTTGCAGCAAAGAATACTCCCGTGTGAGTGTGCACGACCAATCTGACACGGAGCATAAAGACTGGATGAGTCTACGACCGACACAACCGTCACATGTGCATTCACACCTTACAACAATCAAAGGATAAGCTTTCGCTACTTCTTCCACCTTGTTAACAGATTGGCATAGCCACCTCGTTCTTGAGGGGGGCCAAAAAACAAACAAAAAACGGCCCCAAATCCGGGAGCTAGGACATACAATCGCACCAGCCTGTGGCATCCAACAGCCGGTGTCAGCACGTGTGGATAATTGATACCATGGTATCTGTATTGACAAAGACCCAGTCTCAGCAGTACGCGTGGCTCAAAAACTTCGCTTAAGTGGAATCCCAGTGCTTTCAAAACCAAGCACAGAGACAACGAGACAAACCCACTGACTAGGAAGACCTGCAGCGACGCCAATCCCGCCGAATAGTCAGCAGTCCGCCGAGCAACCCTACCCCCACACCCTCAGCCCGCCATTGGAATCGCACGACGCTAGGGTACTAGGCATGTTGAGGCACCAGTCGCACCCCGACGCCGCCACGCCGTGAGTCTGCAAAACCGTTACCACCGAAGTCGACGTGCCTGCGGCCATCGCCGACGTAGCAGCAACCGCCTCCGCTCCGCTAGCAGAAGAAGCAGCACCACTGCTGCTGCTGCTGCTGCTGCTGCTGCTGCTGCGGGCGATGTCCCAGACGTAGACATTCCCGTTCGAGGAGGAGGCGGCGGCGTACGCAGCGGATGGGCTGAAGCAGGCGCGGGAGAAGCTGGAGGTTGTGCGGAACTTGGGGTGGGTGAGGCACGCCACCATCTGGTACATCCGTGCGTCTACGACCTGAAGGGTCCGCACCAAGAAAAGGGGGCCAGGAGGTTATCAACGAGGTTATCAACGTCGACAAAAGACAGCACGAGAAATTGACGACACAACCACACCCAGGGAAACCGGGGGTACGTGTATGTGAGAGGGGCGGCCGGTATCCAAGTAATAGATCCATCCATCCGTTGGAATGCGACGAAATAGCCTGGACGCGCCTTACGAATATACGAGAGTTTCGTGCATCAGTTGTCTGCTCGCCCGTCAAAACTGCAGAACGAGTCTCCGGTAATTTACCCGAATTCCTTTCGTGACTGGGACACATGGCGGGGAACACAGAGCAACACGAACAACACGTTGCTGCCGTACTGCAGAAGCGCCCCTCCCATCCCGTCTGAGCTTTCGTCTGAGCTTTCGACATGTGGGGTTGACGACGAATATCACGTGGTCCGCCATGCAATCCCACTGCAGCACTTCACAGAACGTCTGACCTTGAGAGAGCTGTCTTTCGAGTTGGTGAGAAGGAGATTTGCTCTCCCTGGAGCAAACCTGACGGAAGTCACCTGGGGGGGGATACATGCATCGCCATGGATGAGCAATGGAGATAGACACCATCGCACACGGGTAACCGGATGTACATGTACTTGTAGTAGACATCCAGAGCGAGGGAGTGAGGGAGAAGAAGGCAGAGTGAAACAGAGATACAGCAGAGAAGACAGGCGCTTAGGCGAGCAGATCGACGGCGAACAACGTGGAACACACAGCAAAACATCTCGACATGTAAGAATGTACTCTTTCGAAAGAGTGAATCACAAAACTTGTAACGTTTTCCTTCGTACGTTATAGAGGCTAGCTCACATGGTCCGTGTGTAATCCTTTCAACTGATGCGCACAGCTTCCAGACCTCATGTCCCAGAGCTGGATATGGAATTGATCGTGTCGAACGTCATGGACATGACGGAAGTTTTCCAAACGAAGCCACCGAGCAGGGATAGCACGTCATCACGACAGAACAAGGAAAGGGGGTACGCAACCGGCCGGGAAAGATCCCTCGATAAAATTGATGAGACAATTTCTCAAATAAAAAAGTCACAGGAAGCACATGCTGTGAACTGCATCCAATTCCACAAACTCCCGAGCAAGTGCTATCGCCCACGATCCCGATTCTTTTCGACCCTTTGCTTCCATTCTACGCTGATTCACGTGTGCTTGAGCTACCGCCATTCACTGCAGCAGGGATGCTGCTTCTAGCTTTCCTCCGCGAAAAAGGTAGCTCAACGACTTCAAATCCAGATAGCGAGGGGGAATGGACAAAACCAATACCATCGAAGGTCCTCCATTATTGACACGTTGCAGGCATGCCAGTACCTCTCCATTTCACACACCGCGGAAGGAACCGGGAAAAAAAAACACCTACCGATATATATACAATACAGTGTGGCTTCCCCCTGCGTGACCCTTGATGGTGAGTCTACAACACAACTACTACTACACATATCGAAGAGCTAAAAACTGACAAAAAAAATGTGTGGGATGACGTTTTTTCATTCGCCATTCCGGGAGCGCTGTCGCCGCTAATACCAGGCATAACAAACACACCCACGTGGGTGTACACCGACGGGGTGAGGTTCCTATATCGTTCCTGTGTGCACCACGTACCCGTACAGCGCCGTCCATATGCCCGGACACGACGACGGCGTTGGTCCCCTTGGAGTCCTTCCAGCTGTGGCTCACGTCCACCGCGTTGCACTTGGAGGTAGCCCGCATAGCCGTTGTCATGGCGTTCCACTGCCCCCGATGCAGGTCCCAGACCTTGCAACGCCCAGCGGACCGAATAAGTTGCGTTCATGCGTTGGCCACAGCAGTGGATGTAGTCCTACTTGTACGGTAGAGGTCGCTGTTTACTGCCGGTAGGTGCTCAGAATATTAATCATCCGGCACTACACCGGACCGCACTGAAAAGGGATAGAATTACTTGGTGATAGAGTCAGTTTGTGCCCGCCGAAAAACGCGATGCCGGCACCGTGCCGGCAACCTTCACTAGTAGCCTCTACGGCACTGGAGTACGTACATGATGCAGTTATCGACACAAAAACAAACAAAATTCTACCAGGAGGCGGAGTGCCGAGAAATGACGTACACGGTGAGAAACAACAGTCCACCGTCGAACGAACGAACGAACGAACGCACCAGCCCGCTGGACGCTTGTTGAGCAGAGTCAGCGGCAGCGCTCGTGAAACACCAGAAGGACCGTTATACTATTATACATGGTACTATTTTACTGGAAAAATCGATACGTACTTCGGGTATCGCTTAAGCGCAATGCCGGCTTCACCCTGAACACGCGCTTCCATTCCAGAGATAAGAACGGCGACTACAACAAACAGCACCAGAGCAGGGCTCCAAGCCAGGACGTAGCGACAGCAACATGTTCGTGTTTCATGTCTACGATTACTAACGATGCCGTTGACGTTGACGTTGTGTACTGTACCTTGATAGAGCAGTCTTGGCTGCCAGTGACGAGTCGTTGCCCCGTATCGCAGAATGACACCGCGCACACCTATTATCAAGAACACCAATCAAGTCAACGGGATCGATATCACTCGAAAAACAGGAGGTGTCCCGTATTGTGCACGTTGCCGTTGCCGGCTGCCAAACGATCGTTTCGTCAACGGTTAGATACCACCTGAAACATTTACTTGAACACAGCCGACACCGTTTGTGAGGGTAACTAGAAGCATCAGCTAACTCATCGTTAACCACACAAGCGTTGTCGTTACCACCACCACCATGATCATAAACACAAACATTATCGGCTACCAGAGTCACCACTCGCCTCACTAATACCACTGCTGTAGAGGCACACCATGCCAAGTAGCGACTGACGAACAGCCTCTCTCTCTTTAAGATGCGATACGAAAAGACACAAGGAATAGTAGCAGTCAACACGTTCGACGGGAATAATATCAAACAACGGCTATCGAGATGGGATTGACGTCTCACATCAGTGATAGGGCAAGTGAACGATGTCTAACCTCACCTTTTGCTGGTGGCCTGTCAACCGAGCCTGTTCTCGACTCGTCCTAAGGCTCCACACCGTGCAGCTGCCATCAGAAGCCCCGCCACACACCAGATCCCCATGGATGTCCACGGTGATCATTGCAGCCATCCCCTTGTGAGCTGCGCCCTGTCAACACAATCGTCCCGTTCGGCACAGACGGCGATGATGCTCGTGGTCATAGCGCTGGCACTAAGCTGGTCGCATGGCATCAAACATTGATGTTTCCGTACCCAGGTGTCGAAACAACGCATAGAACAGCCGGTGTGTAGCATACGGGTTGGGAATTAACCGAGAACAACACGGACATCTAAAGGGGAGATGGTTCGAACAAAACAAGAGAGCTGCACATCATGTGCATAGTTGGAGTCAAACATTACATTCAGCAGCATCTCTGCCCCTAAAGCTTCCCAGCAAACTCTGTTTTGCGTCTTACCCGCGGGCATCTACGGAGGCGTGTTCGTAACGTACGGATAACGAGATACAAAGAGCGATCCCCCGAAGCCCGGCCAACATCCTCACCTCCCAGCCAGCTTCACTTGGAAGGAACGCTATCAACATCACTCGCCTCTTCATGCACCCACCACACGCCCCGCACCTCTCCTCTCTCCTTGCTCTCATCGTCAAAAACACCCCCCGCCCCATCCATCGCTGCACTGTACATCTGCACACATCTATTCTGGGAAACCTTCACCGAAGCCTTCGTCCCCTTCCTCACCACATCTCACCATACCTGACACCTCATTGCCTCACCTTCAGAGCTGCCCTCTGCCGCCCTGAGCCTGGGTCCCACACCTTAACGTACGAGTCGTCGCCCGCGGTGGCCAGCAAGACCCCTCCCTTCTCGAACACCACCCCGTTCACGCCGGAAGAGTGAGCCTCGATAGCCTGAAAGCACCTGCTCGGCAAGCCCGTAGATGCGGGACCCGCGTTTTTTTTTCGTAACCCAGATGCCCAAGAAGAGGCAGGCATGTCCCCCTCCCCCTGGGGTTGTTGGGAGGGATCGTCGCCAACCTGCTGCTCCTGCGACAGCCAAGCAGGTGCGGTTCCCGCTTCGGGCCGTTCGTTGTCGCCGCCCATGACGCCGCTTTCGGGACGAAAACCGGAGCATACAGGGGGTGCGGGGGGGGGTACTCATAGTCGTGCATGCCGTAGTCGTTAGGCCATTGACCTCGCATCCCTACAAAGCCGGGACGGAGCACGCCGGGTTCTCACCGGACCAGGCTCTCACATCACCAAGCGCGAAGCGCCGTGAGGTATTCGCCGAGTCGCATGAAGGGTGCGCTGCATCCTGCCAAGGGTGTTCGGCATCTTGTGCTTACTTCCTTGCGTACGAATGACAGCTGCGAGGGTTAGTAGCGGAACCGTAGAGAGCTTTTTTCTTTCGTTTCGGTAGTGCCGTGTGATGCGAAACTAACCACTTGGGGGGTTTGGGAGATGAGAAGTCCAAGCTTAAGAAAGGATATGTGTAAATTATCTAAAAAGGATACGAGAAAGAGAATGGCCAAAGATCAGGTGCTCCGTCAAGAAGTCTATTATAGTATACAATAAAAGATAGAATATACTTATATTCAATTAATCTAAGTTGTAGTCGATGTTGGGTTACCCCGCAGAGCTCATAACAGGAACATAACAACCAACCGAACCCGCAGCACCGCAAAAACAAACAAAAAGAAGGATCCGTACCGTTGGGACAGGGCCTACCACACCCCATGCCGAACAAGCACAGGAGGCTATCCTATCTTTTCCTTTCGTTTCCTAGAGAGAGGTCGATGCTAATTCCTAAGCTACCAATGTGGTGTAGGTGACGAACAGTACACTCGACAAGCAGATTCGATGCTAGTCGTGGCCAGAACAACAGCAGTTGCCGTAAAAATGCTAGCATTGCGTCGGATAGAGTCGAAGACAGCAGAAGTACACTTGGTCAAATCGGTGTTATTCATGGCGAAGTAGATCGAGCACAATAATAACAGAATAACTGACCTCGTGGCCCTTCGTCTTGCTTGTGCCGCAGTCGTTGTGTCTTGGATGCCTTTTTCCTGCTGCTGCAATTTGGCCGCCAGGTCTTTCTTGTCCTGTCTGAGAGTAGAGTTTTCCTCATTCATCTTGTTCATCTCCTCTAGCATTCTGCGGGTATAGTACACGGTAAGAACAGCAGACAAGACACAAACCCCGTGTGGGTTTGACTGACGGCTACCGAAGCATGGCTCGCAGCATGGCAATAATGCTACGACGCAGGTATGTTTTGGCAAAACTCTGACAACTACTGCTGTTATTCTAGTTGCAGGGGGTGCACAGTAGGACAGAAGGATCCAAACTACGTTCAAAACCCCATGTGTTCGAACACTGTGCAAGAACGTCTACTACAGGTGCAGGTGCAGCTCTAGCAACACGTGCACCCCAAGCCTAACCCTATAGAGTCACTATAATAGTGTACAAGATACAAGATACGAGATACGAGATACTTGCTAGATATTTCACCGTCTTCCAAGTCACAGGGGCTACCTGCACCACAGAGAGCTAACGCCACTGCTGCTGCAGCACGTTCCTCGGCTTTTGGTACAACGAATAGGCAGTGCATGCTCCGTGTACTCAGGCGCCCATACAGCAGGGGCAGGCCCGCAGCAACGACTTCTCTCGAACGAAGTCGAGACGGAGATGAGTCAGATAGATAGACCCAAGGAAGGTTCGTTGGGGTTCGCTGGACTGTTCGAGGGAAAAAACACGTGAGCTGTGTGAGCTGTTGAGCTTCATAGATGTCACCGTCACACCCGCAGCTGGCAGCCAGCTGTGAGTTGGTCCTGCTGCCTGCCATTGCTTTCATCTTGTCTCGCCCTTTGATGACACGCTGCTGTGCTCTCACGAGCCTACTCCGGAGGGATCGCTTGTAGTCTACCTGGCGCGTTCGTTTAGTCCTACATTCTTCTACCATTGACTGCTGTACCTCTCTTTGTCCTTTAGAAGGCGGGACATGAGCTCCTCGCGCTCCCTACTCGCCTCCTCCCTGAGAACCACAGCCTCAGCCTCCCGGCCTCCAAGCATGTTTCTCAAAGATTCAGTCTCTGCCGGGGACACACGAAAAAGGGGGCATCCGTGATGTTTGGCTATCGTTGCTCTTGCTTGTTGTTGTTGTTGTTATTGCTGTTGTTGTTGCTGTTGTTGCCATGAAGAGTCCACAAGCTGAAGCCAATGGATACCGAAGACTACGACCCTGGTCTCAACGGCAGAGGAAATGAGACGCTTGCCAATATCACAATCGACTAAAACGGGTAAAAATCGATACAATGTGCCCGGGAAAACGTGGTAAGCAAGAGAAGAGGTACTACTGGTACATGTCATGTATCTCCGCCGGAACACAAAAAGAAAACAACAAACAAGACAAATTGCATAGCGTTGTCGTCCATGTAGTTGTTGCCATCATCATCGCTGCTACCATCATGCTCATCGTGCCCCTACAATGGGTGCGGAAGCGAGAACTAGAGCATCAACCACGACAGACGTTCAGCAAAACAGCGGGAGCACCCCCAAAACATGTAATGAACGTGTGTAGCAGTGAACTACCGAACCCTGTACAGTTGGCGGTTAAAGAAGGTGGCCAACGTCCGCTAGCGGCTTCGCTCTTCGCTCAAAGTACAAGACAAGGTTCACCTTCCCGACGAAACACATGGGAAGCGTCGACAATAAAAACATCTTGACTCAATCAAGGGGCGAGTAACTAGAAGGGGGATATATAGATGGGCCAGCTGCAGCACACAAAACAAGTACAGCCGTGTTCCATCCCAGACATCGAATTGGAGGGAGGGTGGCTGGGCATCCTTTTCCCCGCCTCGTGCACACTACAATAACAAGAGGCAGTCCGCAACTGGATGCGCAATGCTTCCAACAGCAATAAGTAATGATGGCGGAATACGGTGTCTATGTACTCAGCAGCAGCAGTAACCGGACCCCGCTGCATGTGGTACTCCGTAGTCCAACACCGTATATGACACAAGATAACACACCCGCTGGACCGATTTTCAAAGCTCGATTTATCAACAGGAGAAAGAGTTGTAGCGCCGAAAAGGGAGGCGTTGAAACCGTCTGGTCGAGAGCTATTCGAAAACGCATTGTTTCGTTTATGCGTCTCCTTCGTCGTGGAGTGATCGAGCTTTGAAAATCGGTCCAGGGGGTGTGTTATCTTGTGTCACATACGGTAGTCAATACCTGCCCGAAGAGACGCCAATGCCGATTCCGACAGCGCGTTTTCGTCCTCCAGCGTCGTGCATCTCGACATCGACACCCCGTGCTCCACTTGGAGTTTTTCTAACCTTGATGCGACGGCGGGCCAAGCGTGAGGAAGGGTCAAAATTTTATAGACAGGGAAGGAACAACAGTAGTGGGGTGGAGGAAACCGCAAGGGCATCAGTCATTGTTTGTACGTGAGTGAACCCCAGAAAGGCTTTCAGATGTGGGGGTGTTGGCGTGACGATCAGTCACACTCTACGCTAGCCGCCGCAGGCGTGGCCGGCTTCTTTCATCCAACTCTAAATCTTCGCCTTTACCCTCGTCTCTATCACCCACCACACGCTAACCTCACCAGACTCGCTGCCCAAAACTCTCAACCTTTCTTCTTCGTACGCAATCATGCTCACCGCTCGTTGGAATGCTTGAGCTGATCCTGCAGTAGCTGGGCCTCCTTCATGAGTCTAAGTTGTTCAGACGCAGACTCGGCGCTGCTGCGGTACTTGTCGGAAACCTACCGAAAGAGAGTTCATGAAACACACCGTGCCGGTTCAATGACGCAACAACTTTTTGATATCATTGCGGACGTGGGTAGGGGCGAGAGAAACGAAGCTCGAGTTTCTCCGCGTCGCAAACCTGGTTAGTGAGTATCGCATGCTTACGTAGCAAAGCAGAGTGCTGTGTTCTACCGCACGAAGTGAGCAGCTCAATCAGCAAGGTGGCCCCGGTCTGGCCTGATTCACCGAACTACCTGAACCTGTAGGCGCTGAAGTTCGTCCTGCATTCTGCGAAGAGCTTCGGAGCTCTCTCCCTGCGACAGACCCTCAGTCAGCTTGTGCCTCAAAATGATGATGTCCTGAAAAGGAAGAGAGGCAGACAAAAGGTGGTGCACAATCAGGCATTTCAACCATGGAAATGTCAGCAGTCAGGACCAACGTTTCATCCCATTAGTTCCCCATAAGGAAATTCCTGCCTGATGATGACACTCGCTTTCGGCTAACGAGTGCCACCCTTCTGGGTGCATCCCCATCCTCTGGACTGACTCCCTTCAAACCACGGGCACGATTCGTCATATATATGCATACGCTGACTCTTCGTTGTTGCCTCCAGCCACCAAACATCGACACAGCGGCCATCTTGGTCAGTACATCACTCCCGAGCCCAACATCACGTGGTAGCATGTCTACTGACGCGCATTGGCTGTCTTCACCCAGTTCCTACCGTCGTGCCACCGATAGACGCAACCTGGAACGGAACGCAAGTTGGGGAGAAAGGGAGAGAGACTCCGCTTCTGCTCTACTGAAGGTCCACACCTGTCTCAAACTTGAAACACAGCGGCAGAACAACCGATCAAGTGGCAGGTGCAAAGCAATGCACTTAACACCAATACACAGCATAATCAAATCATGTACGAGTTTACTGTACCTTGTCCTGTTGGAGCATCTGTTGCGTGAGCTTCTCGTTGATGTGCAGGAGACCTTGGTGTGCAAGGAACACATCCTTGAAAGGGACGCTCTCCTCCAAGTTGCGACGGGCGAGCTTCGAGGCGAGACTACGAAGCAGCCCTTTGTGCCTGCTGTCGGCAGCTGTGCTATCGCCTTTCCTCACGAGAGAGGCCATGAGACACAGAGAGCAGAGCAGCCATGTGCTGCTCTGCGCTGTGTGTGCCGGGCTTGGCCGGGGAGCTCCGTGGGATTGATATTCCGCCGCACTATATTCTGCGATGCCCCCCCTGTGAGCAGCAAGTGTGTCACGCAAAGAGCTAAGGCTTAGCTCGAGGCCTAGAGCTGCACACGAACGGCTCGTAGATCCGTCCACGAGGTCTCGGCTGAAGCGTTCCCTACCCCCCACTTTCTCGACGAAGACAAGCTGCCGGTTCAGTGAGAGGGGGTATGACGAACTCTCCCTGGCGATCGGACGATCGACGATGGGCTTTGGGAGTTGCTCTGTGCCTATGCGGAGCCGGTGCCGCCGCTCTGCACTGCACCAGACGGCGACGCCGGCGAGCCGGCGAGACCCAGGGACAGCCTAACGGCACGAGACACGCGTCGATTTCGCGGCGTGACTCGCAGGACGGCGGGAGGGTGAGGAGAGGGTTGCCTCCCCGGCACGCCGGGCCGGACAGCTCTGGCAGTCTTTCGGACACGTACCCGGCCGTGGACATAGGGGCGGTGCTCGGCGTAGACATCGGGGGCACTTTGTCGAAGCTGGTGTACTTTGAGAAGAAGGCTCCTTCGGAGGCTGACCCTCAGTGTAAACCTTCAGGGGATCCAATGGGCAAAAAGGTGCGTGTTGGTACGATATTTACAGTAGTAGTGCTGTGTACTGCCTGTAGACGGAAAATCAGAACCATGTTCAATTTTCCGCCGTTTGGAGCGATGTCATATTGTACGACTCTGCCATATCATACGACTCTGCCAGTGGGTGCGCCATCTTGGGGTTCAAAAGCGGTTTGTTTACAGCAGTACAGCAGTCGTCTACACCCAAACCCCAAGATCTGTCAGCTCGACGGACAAGCGTGCCGATTGCTCATTGGTGGGATTTTCTCTCATTTCGTGCACGAATCGAAGAGCGTTACGGTGTAAAGGAACTTTAATTTGTAGTGAAAGTTGTCACTGGTTTCTCTGTTGTTCAAATCGTGATGCTCCCTCCGCGCGTCATGTCAAGTCATGTTGTCCACAGCAACGCAGCAAAAGGCGGTGTCGTGTATTGTATTGCGTACACGTTCTGTTCGCTGCGAGAAACGTGATCCACACGCGTTCCAGAATACTGGATAATTTGTTCATTTGTGATGATAGACCGGGGACCAAGCGTAGAAAATGCAATCTGAGGACGCAGGTGCGGGCGAGGAAAGCACGAGGGAGATGTGGCACAGCAGTACACAGCAGTACTGTATGCATAGTGCCAAGATAATGTAAAATAGCGCACATGCGTGGATGTCATAAGCAGCAATATTTTTTTTGTGCCGGACTAATGCTCGAGTCTAAATTGTTCGATGTAGCCGATGTTGTTGCCACTGGCTGTTTATGGTAGCTGTAATCCACTTTCAACCATCTTTCGCCCTCTGCCGAGACGTTGGAAGTAGAATGTTATTTAACGTTTCGCGCTCCCTCTACGCTTCCTTCACAGGTGGAGATGAAGCGGACGGTCAGCCTGGGCAACCTGCACGACACCATGGAGCAGCAGGAGGCTCTGAAGGAGTTCTACACCTTCATGGACCAGGCTTCCAGGGTCGGGGAGAGCGGCGTCAAGGATGCCCACCTGAGCGTGTACAGCCACGCTCTCGGTGGGGTCCTTCACTTCTTCCACTTCGAGACGCGCTTCATGGACCGTGCGGTTGAAGCCATCGCCAACAGCCCCATCCACCGCAACATACAGGTATTCGTTCGCTACAGTACAGTACAGTACAGTACCCATTGCCGTCGGTGCTTGGCCACTCCGTGCTTCGAAAGAGTTCCTCGAAGCCGCTTCTCACATTGGCTCAGGAATTGCTGTCGGTTGTTTTTGAGTCACCCTCATGAACATGCAAGCGTACGCAAACCCATGGTCTTTGCTCTGCTCACGTCCAGCGAGCTCCCACGCGCGTAGAGTTCTGCGGCTGCGTACCCAGTTCAAAGGTTTCTATGCGTGGTGGATTCTCCTACCGGCAGCATCTTCAGGTCAAATTGGGTCATAAAGGCAGTCTTGCAGCTTTTTGTATGCAATTCCGTTTCGGATTGGTTTCCGTGGTGCCACCGAAAGCCGAGGTGCCAAGCCTTGTGGAAAGGCTGCATGGCTATCGTTATCTCAAGGCTGTCCCTGCTTTCCTCGGCGCAGGCGCTAGGCTGCACGGGTGGCGGTGCGTTCAAGTTCGAAGAGTCGTTCTTGCAGAGGCTCGCGGTAAGGATGCTGCAGATGGACGAGATGGAGTGTCTCGTGAGGGGGATGCAGTTCGCGCTCGCCAACATCCCGGAGGCGTGCTACACGTACCGACCGCCCGTGGAGGTGAAGAAAGAGGGGGCCCCGTCGGGGGGAGAGGCGGAGGAGGGGGGGGGTTCAGGGGGAGATGAGCCGGGTCCGGATCCCCGGGACAACCTGAGGAATAAGAGGATGCGTGAGATGGCGGAAGTGTCAGCCAAACGGGTGAGTGATGCTGCTGCTCTTGTCTTTTTCTGGGTTGACGCCATTGCTCGAGCGGTTCTGCTGGTACCGCAGGCCCAACGTTCGCCCATGGCCAAGCTTTGGCGAGCTCACAACATCAGGTTCTTCCCGCAGCCAAGCCTACCAGCACAGTTCTTCCCTGCTAGCGCAACACGGCGAGTGTTGCTGTGATCGCATGCGGTGGACTGTGTAGGTATGGAAGTTTGTGCCGAGTGTCACCAAAACTGGAGGACTGACATTGGTCGTTTTATTGGTCACGAACTCCACACGCACAGGAATACACGGTCAAGGTTGGTCGCTCGATTGCGGACGAGCCCGCCACCACTGCCTATCCGGCGCTGGTGGTGTCGTTGGGATCAGGGGTTTCTATCATCAAGGTGGGCGTTTGTGGCGTACTGCGTCAGATTGCCTTCTCGAGACATGCTACAAAGGCGGTGTGTGTGATTGTATGGTAGGCAGCCTACCGGGAGTAAAGTTGAAGGTGAAACTAGCGTTCCAGTACGTGTACGTGATCACAACCCTGCACTGGTCTGCAAGTCTTGACGACAGTACCATGCCCTCTGCTTGTGGTGCGGGCCCTAGAGTTGCAACGAGCGGACTTTGGCGCGACACAGTGGTCGTCCCTTGTATGCGACGCATGCGTGCATTTGTGTTTTGGTATGTATTGCGCTCAATGATTTATCGATATTCACAGCGATCGTATCGCTGATGAGAACTGGATGAACACAGGGGCGACTTTCAACAACACCCGAACCCTCGCATGATCTGTAGGCCATGTTGGCAATGTGCTCTCTCTGTCTTAGTCGTTCATTGCCGTCCCGTGTATAGACAGCATCCGCGGGAAGTGTGGACGGTCATTGTCTCAGGCAGAATGTACTAAATCGTACCCTGAGTGTGGTATGACACTTAGTCATGGATATCTACGGAGATCGCCATGGACAAGATCAGTTTTACATGTAGCACGTTTCGAACCTCGCCTCCCATCCGTCACCCAATACCCTCTCGGGCCCCGTCCTACTCACCCATCCATCCCTCAGGTCGATGGTCCTGCCAAGTTCAAACGTGTGAGCGGCAGTAGTATCGGCGGGGGCACGTACTGGGGGCTGTGCCGACTCCTGACCGAAGCAACTAGCTACGACGAGTCTCTGGACATGGCTCGTCAAGGCAACTCCGACAAGGTGACTCGAAGAACTCAAGAACTCGCATCTGCGACCGAAGAAATGTTCAGTTAGATCCAACATCGAAATGCGTGTCTCAGTGCGGTTATCGCAAAGGGCGTGTCAGGTAGTGTTGAAAAATCAATCCCACGGTCAGGGCAGCTGTGTACCATTTACCGTGTATCGTGTACCATGGTCACGACCCGTGTTGTCTTGTACTGCCCGACATTTGTTGGTCAAGGGTGAGTCGATCGTGCTACGGTACCCCGAACCCCTTGATGATGTACGACCTGGTTCCTTGTCGAGCCATCTGTTCGTGATTCAGACCACGATGTTCTCCTGTCTCCAAAGCACAAATTTGTTTCGGAGCGGTTGTCACATTGCACCGATGATAGGCCGATGTGTTAACTTATATCGTGGAAGGAATTATGTGCGAATGATGCGATTGTTACTTGTGGACTAAGTCTACTTTATGCGTGCGGCGTAAGGTGGACATGTTGGTCGGAGACATTTACGGGCGAGGGTACAGCAAGTTTCAGCTGAGCTCCAACACTTTGGCGAGCTCGTTCGGAAAGGTGGGCGGGATGGAGGCGCCAGGGAAGCCGGGGTCTGGGGTCAGCGAGGAAGATCTGGTGCAATCGCTGTTGGTGATGATCACCATGAACATCGGACAGGTGTGTTTTTTTTGTGTGTTTGTTTCTCTCGTTATCATCGACTGCGCTAGCCGGCTGACGGGCGACAGGGCGTCGCGTTGTACTCTAGCGGGATACGAAACGCAAACACGGTTTGTAGTGCCTGTGTGTGTGAAAGAGAGAGGTGGGGGGGGGAGAAAGGCCCGGTCCTAACCCACAGCAGCATTGTCTTGTTTCTGCACAGGCAAAGAGGGGTGTTTCGTGGAGTGGTTCTCGTCATGTCATTTTTTTGCGGCACGGTGTAACCTGTATCACTTGAGCTTGCTTCGCTCGGAGCTACCGAAGTCGTTGCCGCCCGTGCGGGTGTGTAGGTATGTCGAGGTGGTGGTGGGTAGCGGTACCGTTGCCGTGACGCTAGTAGACTACTACTGTGCCTGCCCGGTCACCGGCCCTGGGTGCGCGAAGAGCACCAAAGAAAACTACGAGAGCCAGGTGGAGGCTCAAATATCAAATGCACATCATATCAACAACGTCGATGTGACACATATCCCCAACTCCCGCGGAATATGTACCTTTCGACTTAGGGGACCCAAGTCGTCCCAGCACTCGACCACGAAAGATGTCGCTCGCTTCTGCTAAACTACCCACCCGCCCGACAAAATCGTGCGCTCCGAAAAGGTGGCCTACTTGAACGCCAAGCTGCACAACACGCGGCGCATCTACTTCGTTGGGAATTTTTTGCGACACAACCGACTGTCCGGCCAGCAGCTGGCCTTCGCGATAGACTACTGGAGCAGCGGGGAGATGGAGGCCCTGTTTTTGGAGCACGAGGGGTACTGTGGCGCTCTTGGCTCCTTCCTCATGTCCGGCACAGAGGAACCAATAGGAGGGGGCGCTGCCTCCGAATCAACCGAGGACTAGGTTTGCGCTAGATACGTTTGAACGTTTTTTTGGGGTGGCGGAACGTGGAGAACACGCCCGAAGTATGCTATGGCTTTGTGACTCGTGTGTGATGCAATGTGTGGTGCTCCTCGGTGTGCAGAGGTGCGTGTGTACACCTTAGTCTACTAGTGGTGTTGGGCACGCTCGAGGGGTTCGAAGCCACGCTCGCTCGGGACTAGACTGCTACGCAAACGCCAAGCTTTGGCTGTTGCAGGTTGTATTTTCTGTTCGATTGGAGCTGGATGGTGTTGCCGTAGGGTGTGTTATTCCTCAGATCGACTAACCTGTGCTGTGTCTTCCTTGTGGTGTTTGGTGCCGTACGTCGTACTGCGAGTGCTGCAGCGCTTCATCTACTGCTGCCGCTGTCTTGTACTTGTGTAAGGGAGACTACGTACTGTAGTGGCGTGTCCCTTCATGCTACATACGTCGTGGGGAAGGACTCCGCCTAGTGCCCGTCTTCCAGTCAGTTCTTCGCGGATATTGTGTGTGGGTAGTCTTGGACCAATACAATTCTAGGAAGACTGTTGTAAGATTGCGGGGGCTGTTTTTGAATAGGGTATTTTTTGCTCTCGGGCGGTTTCCATGTCCTTTGTTGTTGGAATTTCCCGCGATTGTTGAAATCTTGCGTGTTTTATGCTTCCACTCAATTTCCATATTCGGTCCAGGGCTGTAGTGTGGTTCCGGCGTGTGTCGCCGAATAGTAGAGATTGTGACGTCATGGGGAAGGGAACGTGACTTGTATATACGTAATAGTTTCTTAGAATTCAGTAGACTCCCGGATGCACACGGCACAGAGAGTTGAAACGTGTATGTTCAACATTTAAAGAGAGTTCAATTCAAACGTGTTTGTTGAACTCGCCAATCCAGCATGCGTCCGATCGTTGGCCGTTTTCAAGGCCCTTGTGTTTTCCAATGGTCACGTGGACTCCAGTTTGGACGTACCTACCTGGCACGGCTGTTTAAACGGTGTCCCTGGTCGAGTTTCTTCGTGGTACGTGCAAAAATAAACGTTTCTGACAAAAACGAGCGCCACTCTTCTTACTGCTGTACAAATAGACCCAAGGAGTTGAGATTCTCAATCAACGACGCGCAGGACTACAAACTACAGTATATACAATATGTCGGTTTCTTGCCGAGCGGCTGCACGTTCTTGATTCCCTCGCTGCTGCCCTCACTGTGGCACACGTTGTGCGAGGCTCGCGGTGCACATCCCGTTGTGGGGCAATCAACTTCGACAACCGTTAGAGTATAAGAGAAAAACTCCCGACATACCGAGGACAACCGCTGCTGATGGTGCTGGTGCTGCTGTCTGTGTAGGGCTTGTCCCTCACGAACACATCCGAACGAAAACTGCACTATCTGGTAGATTATCACGTCATGGGTGGTGGTCGCGTATATATGTTCTTCGTGGTTGGCATAACATGATGCCAGCCACAAGAATACTGCGCATCATCTAAACTACCTCTGCATGTATGTGGCGACAGCAGTGAGATGCACCCCCGGAGTCGCGGCATGCCCTCAACACTAGCAATACACGGAAGAACGGAAAAATGAAGAACGGAAAATACGAAAATACAGCAGACAGTACTTGGGCGACAGACATTTTCCGCATGCATGGTACGTCTGGGTCCCCGGCATATCTCTAAGTCACTAGTCTAAACATTATCGATTGAGCCATACACTGCAGCTCTGCAGCTAGTTGTTGCTCTGATTACAAAGTGCCCGTTCCATGTGGGTACAAGTAGTATTGTGTCGTCGTCGCCAGTCGCCAGCGGCGGGGGTTGTTGGCCGGGCGAACCCTGGGGCGAAACCGAAAAACACGCCTGCCTTCTGAATTGTGGAACACCACTTTTCGTGTCCGCAATCTTTTCGCGATCTTTCTACAACATCTTTCTCTGGTCTAGTCGAGGGCACGGCAGTAGAACCTGGCCAAGATGGTGCGCTCTGCGAGTGAACAACACGATTCAAGGAGCGGGGGCAGCAGCAGCAGAGTTGTTGTGGTGCAACCACAGGAGAAGAAGATACGAGCCAACAACAACCGCGGTGCGAAACCCGCCAAGAAGAAGACGCCCATCGCGGGAAGGATGTGGTGAGTGCGCAACACGGGCGGCAGTGTTTGGGCACGGCTACGAACACTACGACGGTAGTTGTGTCCATGCTAGGGTCTGACGATTCGACGTTGAATATATTATGTAGCCTACTGCTGTATTGGCTTCCGCTACACAGCGGTATCGGCTGGCGCTATGCTACAAAGACTACCGTACATGTACGTTTTGCTCACGGTGTGGTCCTTTTTCCTTTTCCTACGACACATATTCATTCCGAACGTTGTTCCTGTAACTATAGTAAGAGGTGCTATCATCACCACCTTCCTCTGGCTGATCACGTCCACCGCTGTGCGTTCACCATGAATGAATGATCTCTGCACTTTCTTCTGATCTTCTCTCTCGCATATATCCCAATGTTGACCACCTCACGGAAATATCAATAGGGACAGCTTTGAGTCTGAGTCGTCGTCAGAGGACGGTGTAGACGACGGCAACGGCGAAGACCAAAGCCAAACGTCTCGAAAGTCGTTGGAGAAGCGCCGGGCCAGCAAGAAGGGTAGATCCATCAGTAGTTCGACCACGAGCAATCACCGCCACAACAACAGGAGGAGCTCTCGGAGTACTACGCTCGAGTCTGATGGTACACAGAAAAAGACGGGTATCGTGCGTGAGAGAACAGAGAGACGCAAGAAAAAAACGTCGTACGGCGGAGGCAAGGGAGGTGGTGGCGGTAGCCAAAGCAGCGCCGACTCCGAGACCCACCATAACAGTTCTACGCCGAAGATTAGAACAGGAGATAAGGTTGTGGTGTATCTCCCGTCCGGGGGCAAAGCGAAAGGCGTCGTGTCCGTTGAATCCTCTCGGGACAGGTACGAGATCACTCTCGAGAACGGCGAAGTCGAGAAACGTGTCCATTCGAGAAACATAGCTCTGGCTTCGAAACACCGAAGCCACCGTCGCAACCGGTCGGACCAAGCTAGAAGCTCAAGCAGTCGGTCCCAGGCGAAGAAAAACACGAGAAGGCGTCGAGAGTCTCGAGCGGACGCCCCGGGCCGCGAGCAAAGCCATGGCGATGAATCAGGGTTGGAACCTGAATCGCGCACGCCACGCGAACAGCGATCTAACTCTTCTTGGGTCCTCGGAGCTACCCCACCTTCTTCCGCAGAAGCACTAGTCGGGCAACGCAAGGTAGGGGAGGATGACCAACCCGTGAGTTTGCCCTCTACAGGCCCATCAACGGTAGCGTCTGCGGCCAGCGGCGGAGGCGACCCGATCCAGCCGCCACCGGTCGCAGAGAGCCATTCTCCCGATACCGCTCCAACCCGACGTACCTCCCCGCCACCCGTCGAAGCCCTCGTTAGTGAGTCAGAGCGCGAGACAAGCAATGGAGAGAGAGGATCGTCGCTTGATAGAGGATCGTTGCATGAAAGAGGCTCTTCGCCGCTGTCGAGCAAGGTCCGGCAGGCCCAGGGGCTTTTGAAGACGGTGAGGGACCTCTGGGGTTATTGTGTGCGCTACATAGATCAACGCCTTCGCTCGTAGTAACTGCTGCTGCTCCGACTATGTTCTACGCGTAGACCCAAAGGAAAAACCTGTGGGAACGCGGCACGTAATAATACCTGTATGCTGTGCGTCTCTCGCAACTATTTTTCGCGAGGATCTGCACAAACCAGTCATTCGAAGAATCACATACTGTAGGAAGGAGAGCTCCTCCTGCTCCTCCTCCTCGACTTAGTTGGCAAGGTTGCATGCAATGTGTGCACCGCAGGTTTCGGTTGCAATTCAGCACTCTTTTCCTTACCCTCAATGCTGGTTTCCAACAGATGTTTTGGAGGAAAGGAGAGGAGCAAGGCGGCGGGGGGGGCAGTAGTGGTACAGAGGGTGGGCGTAGCGCTAGTCGACGGTGGTCCAGAGGGAACTCACTATCCCGCAGGTTCTCGGGGGGTTCCGGCGATGATCCCGGAGAGAACGTACGGAACTTGAATTCTGTTCCCGTCTCAGGAGACGAAACCCAGCGAAAAAAAAGCACCAACAAGCTCGACTCCCCAATACCCACGTCTGAGCACAGCGAAGACGCAGCAGCAAGTACGCCGCTGGGTGCAGCTGCCCTGAAAGGGCACGCCCGAAGGCTTAGCCGAGGGCTAACGCGCGGCAGGTCAAGGAATCGCAACGACAGCCACGCGGGGGCCGGCTCCGCGTCTCCCGCCACGTCTCGCTCTCCTAGCCTGGCCACGAAACTAGGGATGACTCTTCGTGGAGCGATCATGGGGAAGACACAGCTAGGCGTGCACAATCCTCACGCCGCCGATGTACACACTCCAGCAGCAAACCTTTCGGATGCGGACGCCGGGAGCGACGCCACATACTCGACCGGCGCCAGCAGCGCCAAGAGGGACGAGTCTCGGCGTGAGCGTCGAGCCAGCAGGCCAAGGGGCGGGGCACTACTTGATGGCGGGAAGGACCACGGCGGCGTTTCCAGTGACGGCTTCGACAGCGATATCTTCCGCCAGGACAGCCCGATGGCCGCGACGGCCTACGGGGGCGACCCCAGGAACCTGCCCGACGCCGTGTACTCGTACATTGGCGCGCGGGAGAAGATGGAGCACGAGATGAGCGCGTCGGGGCCCGTTTTCCTCCCGCGCGTTGACAACCTAGCCGCCAAGACGGTCGCAGAGGGAGCGGTGCCGGCTTGGGGGAAGCTGCGGGGGGGCTCTCTGGATATCACCAAGCAGGCGTCGTCTACGACGCAGCGGACGGAGCAGCACCAACCGTTCACAGAGGCCATGTTCAAGGCTGGAGTTTCCGAGACCCGGCATTCGACGAAGCAGGGGATTTTGCTCGAGGGGGACTTGCAGAAGTTCAGCCCGGAGTCCATGCGTGGCGTTCGCTGGCACAAGCGGTACTTCGTGCTCTACGCGTGCGCCTGCGAGCTGCGCTACTACCGGACTCACGCCGAGGCCGCGTGGGGCCGGATACCCTTGGGGGAGAGGGGATCCATTCCTCTCCGCCTGGTGGTAAAGATAGAGCAACCGTCGGACAAGAAGTACCGGGGGTGCCGTTTCGACCTCGTGGTGCTGCACAAGGGCGAAAGCCGCCACCCAGGCCTGCACATCCGTCCCGGGCAGGAGTCGCGGGTCAGGACCACCAAAACGTTCAAGTTTAACGCCGCGGACGCCCAACAGCGCCTCCTCTGGGTCACCGTCATCGAGGCGCTCATGAAGAGGCACGGCTGGGGCATGGATGCCGATCGCTGCCGCAGCATGCGCGCGCCACGGCACGGAGGCCTGACCGCAGGGGCGGGTGACTCGCTTGCCTGGGGTAACACGTGGGGTGGAGGGGAGGCGGAGGGAACCGAGCCTGCGGTCAAGCGACATGTGTCTCTTCGATTGAACGATGGGCTAAACGGTGCTGAAGCCGTTCAGGAGGTTTCCTCTCCACTCAGGGCCGATCACAGGTGTGTGATCGGGTTACTGAAAGCAAGCATGTAGGTATACCAACATTTGCCTCTTGAGTAGGGACGAAATGCAACAACACCAAGGGTACTACTGCTGTAGGCTGCATAATGTAAGGGCTCAGAGGCCTGGTGCATCTTACTAGCGAGCGGTTAAGCACACAAGTCAGAGGGCACTGAATCCCGATAACATTGCGAATGTATTTATGTACATATGTAGCCTTGGTCTTGGAAACAACCCCGTGAACGACATGTGTGGTTGTTTTACGGCCGTTTCATTCTTCCGCATTGGTCGATCGCCTTCTTCGCCATTCTGACGTCGTCTTGTAGCCCATGTCATCATGCGGTTTGGGGAGTGATGCAAACAATGACCCTGTACGGATGCTGCCCGTTCGTTGGTGAACTCCCCCGAGCTCCAGCAGGCAGCAGGAAAGGTCTCGCAAGGGGTCTAAGTCTTCTGTCATGAATTTCGTCGAGGATCGAGATGACGGCGACCTGAACCTCCAACAGGGGCCTCACCATCAGCAGAACGACGAAGAAATGCTCGCCATGCTCCGCGGGACAACGTCGCCCGCCCCGCAGCTGCAGCAGAGAGGCCTCAGCATCCCCTACAGCCCGGGGGGAAAGAGGGGTAGTTTGACCACCGGCGCCCTGTCTCCTCCCATGCCGTTCGGAGGTGCCAGGCGCCAAAGCTCACTTAAGTCGGACCACCTGCGGTGGTAATGCGCGTGATGCTTCCTCATCGCATGGTACAATGCTTGTAAATAGTAGTGGAACGCGGCCGTTAACCGCCATGTTGCGGTGGGGGGCGCATGCAACAAGCGATTCCCGATTCCTAAGGCGTAACCGTACCACAATCGTTGGCGGGTAGAGCTTTTCAATGGCGTGTGCTGGCGTGTGGCATGTAGACTAATGTTCTGTTGGAGCAAACGCTGCTGATACATAGTCTAGCTGGCTGTTGAGGTGATGTATTTAGTGTTTTCCGACCTTGCCCTCCCTTGGTACTACTGTAGCATTCCCAACTTAGATGCAGAGGAGCCGGTAAGTAGACCTTCGCGATGATTGGTCACGAGCGAGCACGTTACGTTTTCTCGAGGAAAAGGTTTGGCTGCTGTGTTGTTCCGACCAGAAGAAACGTGTACCACACCAGACGGGAGGTTCCAGCGCGTCGGCGCAATTCAAGCATTCTTTGTCTGCCGAAAACGCTTGGCGCGCGTCGCCGCGAAAGCAGCCGACTCGCGCCTAACGCCTAGCCAACCGGAATAGATGGGTAGTTTTTTTCTTGTGCGAGAAATCTTGGGCGTGTCGCACGCTGGGCTTAGTGTGTATGTGTATCTATCTGTATGGCAATGTGGTGCACTTGAGGAGAGGGATTGCTCAATCAATCAACCTCTCTCTCCGAAAAAATGAAAAGGGTGCTCTTATCAACATGACCTCTGCCCGGATCATCATCGGAGCTCGTCCGAAGAGAGAAAAGGGCAAGATCATAACGTAGGTCAAGCGGCGAGGAAACCGGTCATGGAAGGATGGCCGAAAAGACAAAAACGAAAGAAGGAAGACAGAAGTTTAAATTGAGTTCACTAAATACTTTCGTCAAGAAGCGTTCTCCACAGCAACGCCGACGCCAAACTACAGAAAAGGTTCATTTCATTTCCAGCCAAGCAAAAAAAAAGAGCAGAACCAAGTCTTGCTAGGCTACATTGTTATTTTACTGATAACAAGATTCCCAACGTTGTCGGGCTGGGTTCAACTACTGTATGTATTATACTATTGCAACTCATTGCAAATCCTTCTCGTCAAATACCCGACCCAGCAATTGAGACTCTACTATATTCCGAGACTTGAGCTACACCCGATCATTCCCTCACCGCAAACATCATCATTATAGATAGTATACAAGTGTAGAAGTGCAAATTGCACGAGAGGTACCCGAGAAACTATACAACGAGCAACTGTTGGTAGTCGCAAAATATATACCTGGTATATATGCGCGAATCCGCATCACAGAGGCCAAAAAGGGCCAACCGGGAGCCGTCCATCCTCTCTTCAATATAGCAGTAAAAAGGGACCAACCGGGAGTTGTCCAATCTCTCTTCAAAATATTGGTACGTAAAAAGGGAACAACCGGGAGCCATCCATTCTCTCTTCAACATACTGTATTTATTACAGAGTGGTGTTCCACATACTGCTCTGTACAGTTGCAGCTGCCACAAGCACCCATGCAAACCTTAACCTCGACAACCTCGACAACCTCACGAGCTACGAGCTTAGCTTGTGCCCGTTTCCCAGTCCGCGACGCGTAGACTATCATAGCGGTCTTCAGGGCCAACCTCTCTCGCCTCGCCTTGCTTTACGTGTGAACCCCCCCCCCCCCCATATTTTCTCTGTCCTTCCCGCAACCCTCCTTCTGGTTTAGTTTCAGTTATAGACGCGCCACCTATCAACCAAAAGCTAACCCCATTATGGGCAAATTAATGTGGCAGAGGTGAGGCCGACTCATACGACAACATACGATACAAACAGGGTGCCGCGCATTTCTACAGCTAGGCCTAGGCTACCCACGCAACACCAAGGTAGGGTGGATTGTAGTAATGTCAAAGAGCATCGATGCCTTTTGGGAAGACTCGCGATAAAAGTTAAAGCTCACCTAGACTTAAAAAACAGAAATGAATCCGGAGTAAATCAATAATATACCATCCGCCAACCCTACCACTTACTTGCCGCCCCCTCTCATCCGTCCACTTCATTCAGTGCGTCCCACGCCCGGAGTTTCAGGGGAATAATGTATAACAAGGAACCAAGATACATGCCGATATACAAAAACTAAAACCCATACCCCTGGAGCCAACTCCAAATACATGCAAAACCAACCATACACGAAAAAACGAAATAAACAATCAAGAGTGAAGAAACAAACCACCCCCTTGCCATCTAGGCCCACAACCACCGCATTGCAGTACAATTGCGTCGCACTCCCTCCCCCCAAAATCACATCCATCGCTGCTCGACAGACCGGTTTACCGCCGTCATCTCCAATGCGCGGGTGGCCGTACCAGCACCGCCACACGGCACCACACGCAACTCCACTTCTGCGAGAGCGAAACCAGAGCACTCCATCCGTGCAGTCCAGGTGACCCCCTCTCTGCACCAGCACCACCAAGCTACAAACAGCAGCCCGTGCCGCTACGCTGTGCGACGGGAAAACTTGACACAAGCACGTTTCTTCCCCATACCAGAGTAGGAGAGGGGGACAACAGCGACACCCACCCCTTTGGAAACATGCACCATCACTCTCATGTTTCTCGAACTTTTAAAGCTCAACCGACAAACCAGCTACTCCCACAAACGCAGCGCAGAACAGCATAAACACAATCTCGAGGGATACAATTCAGTCCGAAGTCGATTAGTAAGGCACACAGCAACAAGTGCATCGAAACAACATGACTTGACACCACCAGGTCCCACGGCCTCATGCATTCGCAGGTGCAACGTGTACGGAGGTGGTAGGCACCCAAACCCACGTCTCCGCGACAAAAACAACAAAGCGACCTACCCGCGAAGCATCAACGAACGAAATCTATTTGGTCATACGTTCGCGCTATAGCTTGTAGACGGGCACGTTCTCCAAGTAAAAAAAACAAAACAAACACCGTTAAACAAAACAAGAAAATAAAAATGTCGAACTTGAAACCAACCCGGGGTGGCGTGTGTACTTGATGACGTGAACCAAGTCTTCGTTCAGAGGTGTTCCACCATCCCGTCACAACCCACGCTGGTCAACGGCCATCCCGACCCCCAATCTACTTGATCTAGGGTATGGTATACTGTACCAACACAGGAACGCCAAAAACACGCAGAAAACCCGGCGGCAAGGCACAAAGAATGATTGATCATATGTATTATGGCACCGCTTGGCGTTTCGCCCGCCGCTACACACCCAGGCCAACTAAAGGTAAAAAACGTTGAGTTGGGCCAACAGGGCTACAAATAACCAGCGTGTAGAGGGGCACGAGGGCGTGCAGTAAGTACAGGAGCGCGTGCAATCAAACAGCGGAAGAAACGCTGCTGTGTAGGTAGCCCCCCTGTGGGTCGCTACAAAACCTCCAACATCCTAAACAAAACACAAAAAAAGCAAACAAACGAGAAACACAAAAAACAAAAACTCCGCAGGACAGCAGTGGCATCGACCCAACTGACAAGTAAACAAACGCAGCTGTGCAAGTGTGAGGAGTGAGGAAAGGAGAAGAAACAAAAACGACCAAATCTTCCAAGAGTCAATGACGGTCACGTCTATTGAGGGCACTAAAATACCAAGCATTTGTTTTGTTTCACCCCGCAACACAATGACACTCTCCAGTCCCTCACCTCACTCAGTCCAGTAAAAAAACACCAACGAATAGAGGAGGGATAGCACCAAAAACTCTACAAGCTCCGTACCCTCTAGCAGAGGCAACAGCAGACGTTTGGCCACATCCCTCCCACATGGTGGTCGCCAAGGATTTTAGCGTACCGCAGGCACAGCGACGACCCAATCAATCCCAATCCGCCATGTCCGAAAATCTAAGGCCTCTGGAGAGCTAACGCAGCCATTTTCTTTGGACGCCACCGAACAAAACCGAACCTCGTGTGTTTTCGTGCCCATCTACCGTTGCGTCCTCGCAATGCCTCTTACCGCAGCTCTCTCACACCGGACGTGATGACGCACCAAGTGCCAGCAAAGCAAACGCCAAGGCAAACGAACAACCAAGAGCAACGCCGATCTACTTCCACGATGTTAAGCCTCCTCACATGGCAACACCCACCAGCCAGTAGCTAGATAAGACCAACGTCCAAGCCCTTGGTACCGCCTGCAAACCGCGGCGACAGCATGCTCTCCAAGAAGTCGATGTCTTCCAGCTGATTCGTCACCCAGGATGCTGCGGCCCAAGCCCCGGGCGTCGAGGAGGAGGAGGAGGAGGAGGAGTTTGAAGGGCCGGCGCACCCCGTGCGGGCATCGCCATCCCACGTTGCGTGCATGCCAGTGGAGCCAACGCTGCTGCTCGCGACCTGGTAGGCCAGGGACTGCTGCTGCTGCTGCAGGTGCAGGTGCTGCTGCTGCTGCTGCTTGGTGAACGGCGCGCAGAGTCTCGGGCCCGATGACGATGCGAGACCGCCTTGAGGGCCGTGTCCTTGGTCGAACACTGCCGTGGCCATGTCACCACCCCCGAAGCGCTGCGACGGCGAGACACCCGCCTCCCCCGCTCTGGCGTTGGCATGTGACCCGCCGCCTGCCTCGCGCCCTCCGTCTTCGCCGACACGCTCACCCATGCTGCTGCTGTCGGCAACGCCTCTGGCCACGACGTGCTGCTGGTGCTGCTGCCGGTGCTGGTGCTGTCGCTGCTGCTGGGACCCGAGATCGTCGTGCCGAAGAAAGTCTGCCGACGCCTGAAGTAGCTCCCATGAGGTCGACGCTGGTGCCGCGGGGGGCGACGGGGGCACACGCACCCTACCACCTACGCCCATGTCACCACTGCCGGGCGATTGGGAGCAGGCCCCATTGCCCCCGCCGCCGCCGCCGCCGTCCCCATCCTCCCTCAAGCTTAAGCAGCCCTCGCTCGAGATTGCCGGGAAGGTCCAGTCGGTGGTAAATGCCGGCGGGCGAGGCGCCGCGCTTCCAGGCCTGGCAAACGCTCCGTGCTGCCGCGCGGAAGACGTCGGCTGGGACATGCTCTCCAAGCCCGGCC